CGTCTGCAGGCCGAGTTCCGTCAGTTGTGTCGTTGGTAGGCAGCGGGCGATTGCAAGCAGTGTGTGTGTGTAGTAATGGATGGACGCGTGTCAGGGCGCTATCGGTTGCCGTCGCCGGGGTCGCACCCATAGAAGGAAAATATACTGTAGATATTAGAAACACACCTCTGGGACAAGTTTTGTTTATGGACACTTCTTGCCGACCTCTCGCCATCCCACGTTTTTTTTCCCCCGTTGATGTGTGTGTGCGTGTGCGTGTGTGTTGAGGGAAGTGGAGAGCAGAAGGGGTGCGTAAGAGGCAGAAAAAGTGAGGTGAGAGCTCTGGCGAAGCAAAGCGAAACGCCAACGCAGCAGAGTTAAAAGAAAGAGAGCCAACCAAAGATGCGCGCACAAACACACACACACACACACACACAGACGTCCCTTTTTTCTCTGCGTTATCTGTGCCTTTTTTTTTTTTTTTGGAGGAACGTGGGTGGTATCAGCGGCTAGTACTTAGCGTATAGGGTGTGCGTGGGTTTGGGTGCCTCCTCAGCGAAGCAGCGTGGCGGGAGGAAAGGCACAAAGCATCACCGGAAACAGTAAAACACAGTGACAGTCTTCAGGCGGAGCCCCGATGTCGGACCACAAGAACCCGGCCCCCGTCAACCAGTATGACTCTGCCACTTATACGCGGAAGGGGCAGACAACCCGCGTTGTGGTTCGTGAAAGGTCGTTTATTAAGTCGCGAACTCAGCGGTTTATCGACTTTCTTCGCCCCTCCATCCGGAGCGGCTTTAATCTGGTGCAGGGGTTTGAGCTAGCGAAGGTAATGACATGTGTCGCCTTTCCCATTTTTATGCTGCTTTACTGGAAACATATGCAAAAGAAGCTTCCCGACCAGTGGGAGAGCCAATTTGCGGGACTGCAGCACCGCAAGCTAAAGGAGGAGGTGTTGCAGGAGCGGGATACGGATTACTTTACGATCATTGACACCTTTAAGGAGCGCCGTGAGAGGGCTTTGGAAAAGAAGCAGAGAGAAGTGAAGAATTCCAACCCATAGGCCAAGCCCCCGGCAACATGAGGGAAGAATGGAGAGAGGGAACACAGCACTGGGAGTGCAGAGCAAGAAGAATGAAAAGGAAGTTGGAGATCGTGTGGCCACCGACGCAGCTGCCTTCTAACACTCTCGGTTCCCTCTTATATTTTTTCTTCTGCGAGATGACTTGCCGTTGCTATGGCAGCATTGGATGAGTTTGATTCTCCTTTGCCTTCCCTGCACGGGGCGTTGCTCTTTTACTCTACACACCTTTTTTTTTTTTGTCATTGTTGCGTGTCAAAAGTTGTTGTATATATATTTGTATATATACATATACATATATATATATATATATATATATCTATATATATATATATCTTCACTTGCATTGCCATTCACCACATTGATGGACGGCAATAACGGCCCTAAGCGGGCGCGTAGTGAGACTATGGAGGAGACCTCCAGCGGGTCAACGACGCCTGCGCAAGGCGCTGAGGCGACCCCGGTACGTGACCCAGTGCTGGAGGCGCAGCTGGATCAGCTCGGTTTGGATGAGGAATTCAAGGCGTCGCTGCGTTGCATGTCACCAAATACACGCAGAGATGTGATAAACGACATTATACGGAACCAACAGCATGAACGGGCTTCCGTGGAGACACCGTTTGGTTTTCTTTCTGTCTTGGGCGGTTCCTCCTTCCTGTCGTTCCCCCCCGACCTAGACGTGCACCTCTCTCTGGAGGATGAGGATGAGGAGGAAGAAAGGGGATCTGAGGCACAAGGGTCGCTGTCGCCACCGCGGCGCCTTTCCCCACGCAATGGAACAGACGACAGGTCGGGTAATTCGAGAACGGAGTCGGAGGCGCTCCGAGAGCAGTTCCTGCGTTCCCAGCTGCTGTATCTACTACACGCGGTGCGGAGCAGAACAGTTGTCAACACCATTTCCGAGGTCTTTGCGCAGCGTTCTCTGGGCATGACTCAGGACATTGACGATATGTCGTATGAACAGCTGCTGGAGCTTCAGGAGCGCATTGGGTACGTCAGCAAAGGCATTACAAAGGAACAGATGCAGCAGTGCATGCAAGACGTGCCATGGCCGAAGGAAGGCAGTTGCGTCGTCTGTCAGATCGAATGGCAGGATGGCACCGGCGACAATGAGCGAAGCGTGGAACTGCAGGCATGCCATCACGTCTTTCATCAGCGCTGCATTGAGCAGTGGCTGGCCTCCAACAAGACATGCCCGGTCTGCAAGAAGGAGGTGCTGTAAGTCATGCGGACGCCATCTACTGTCATCGCACCAGACGAAAACGGAGCGAAGAATGATGCATGAAAAAAGACCCACGCTGTGCATACATGCACATATACGCTCATATGTAGATATATGTGCATGCACGTACACTCCAGCATGGCACGAGAGACTGTCCGCGGTAAAGGAAATAAAAAAAAAAACATAAAAAAAACAAAAAAACGTTCATTACACATCTCAAGGAAGAAGAAGACGTATGAGAAGGGAGGACAGAAAGTTGCCGGCATTCATCAATGTACAGTCCGAATCGCTGCTGATGATGGGGGATGTGTGTAGGCGTTTGAAGGAAACTTCCGGGGCAACAAAGGAACAGTGCGATGTACGTGTGGGGAAATTAGTGGATAAACAAAATCAAGGAAAACAACAGCAGCAGCAACGAAAATGGGCGGTGATGGCCGGCTGCTGAGGGAACTTAACACAACCTGCGCGCTCGAATGTCATGATAATTTTTTTCCCCACACTTCTGTTTGGTTGCACGGCGCACGTGCAAAGTGTGGGGTGAGACAATTTTGAGGCGGGCGTGCGGGAGGGGGGGGGGACGGGTTTGTATAAACGGGGAGCGAGAGTCTGTGCGTGTGTTGTGGGGGGTGGGGGGGGGGTGAACGGCGTGTGGTGAGGATCGAAGGCGGCGGGACAGTGCGAGTTGATAGTATTTTTTTTTGTCCTGCTGTTTTTCTCCTCTATGCCTCCTTCACTGTTTTGAGGGGAGAAGGAATAACAAAGGCCAAAGGAGGAAGCGTGGGGGAGGGGGCGCTCACCGACATTTGATCATGCCATTCTTCCCTCTCCGCCGTTGTGTTCTTTTGCCTTTCGCTCCCTGTTGCCTAAATTGTTCTCTCCATGCTTTCTTGCATGCGCAATGTTTCTATCAGTGCCAGTCTCGTGCACATCTGCTTGTATTTGTGATGCGGATGTGTGGCTGACGCTATGCGTGTTGCTAGCCTCTCTACGCCGCCTTCCGGTCTCCTCACCCCGTGTGTGTGAGGACGAGAGAGGAAGGGAGTATGGGAGAGGTGGCGGGCGGCAGTAGCCACCACCGCAACGAGACACGACAAAAAAGTAAAAAATAAAAAAAATAAAAATTTAAAAAAAAGGAATAATAGAAAGAGGGAGATGAAACAGAACACAATGAAGCAGCGAGACGCAGCCCATATATATAAATATGTATAAATATATTTATATATATCGTTTGCTGGCAGCTCTCGTGCAGAAGAAGAGAACTCAACATTATATATATATATATATATAATAACAACACAACAAAAGAAGACACTAGACAAGAAAGAAAATCAAAACACGTTCTTCCACTTTTTTTTTTTACGTTTTCTTTATTTATTTCTTTCTTTCCACCTGCGACGTTGGCGGTGTGCTCATGCACAACTTGTTTACCTCCCCACTCATACAATTGCCAGTGGGGTGTGCTGCCACACCCCTAATGTTCCCCCATTCCACGTCTTTCTTTCTGTGCGTGTGAATGTGTGGGTGGGTGGGTGTTGGCGAGCCAAAAAAGCAAACCAGTGAAAATGCATGAAAGTTAAATTAGTTGTTGCCGCAAATATGAGGAGAAGAAGACCTTTAAAGTGAAATGACTGACTCGACTCCCTGTAAGACATTGCAAGGTTTCAGAACCATGAATGAGCGGGGAATTGCAGTCGTTGCTATTTTTTTTTGTTTTGTTTGAATGGCACTGCCTTTTTTAAAAAAATTATTTTATTTCTTCATGCACTCCGCCGCTGATAGGTAGCTATGGCGTCTGGGCTTTTTGCTTCCTATGAGGAGGACTTCAATGAGAACTTGCAGCAGGTGCGGGAGGCAGTGGCGGCTCTGCAGGAGGCGTTAAAGCAAGACAGCAACTCCTATGAGCCTCCACCCGCCACAGGCCCGCGGAGCCGCGCGCATCAGTGCCAGGTGATGCAGCAGGGTCTGGTAAACATGCGTGAGCTTGTCACAAGTATGCTGTATGAGAGCAATGACGTGGAAGCGGGCGAGGCACGAAATGAGACGAGGAGACGTGTAGAGGATTACAAGAAGATGGTCACCGTTCTCGAGGAGGAGTTGTGTAGGCTGCGGCGGGAGTCGCAGGATGCGGACAGGATGGACCTCATAACAGGCGGCAATGACACGCTGGATGACGCTACCCGGGAGGTCCGTGTCCGTGCGCTTGACAACACAGAAAAGCTGCGTCAAGGTACCACGGCGTTGGAACGGGCCGAGCGGACTCTGCACGAGGCAGGCGACCTGGGAACCTCGACTTTCTCAACTCTTCGCACCCAGACGGAAACGATGCGGAACTTCCACTCGACCATTTACAACGTCGATGCGGAACTTTTGGAGTCACGCAGAATTGTTAATCAAATGCAGCGCACGGCGACGAAGAAAAGACTGTGTCTTATGGGCATCATTGCAGCCCTGACATGCTGCCTTGTGGGGATGATTTTTATACGCTAGTCGATCACGCGAATGTTGTGCACGCTTTTGTTTTGTGCGGTTTTTTTTTTTGAGGTATTTTGGCGTTTTTTTTTTCTTGCCGTGCCTTTTCCGTTTGCTTTGCTTTGCTTTGCTGCAGATGCTTTTGCCGCGTGTTATTTTCGCGTCCTCGCCGTTGTTGTCATCGTCGCCGGACCATATTTTTTTTTTTTTGGATTTTCTGCCCCTGTTGTTCTCACGTTTTTTGTTTGTTTTTGTTTCTTAGTTTCTTGCTCGCTCGCTGCGGTTGAGGGGGAAAAAGGAGGAGGAGGGGGGGGGGGGGAGTAACTGCCTCATGTCGGCACTGTTCCAGAGCTACGAGGAGGAGTACCGCGATGTCGTCAAAAGCATCCGCGAGGGCCTCGATGGACTTCGCGCGACGTTTAACCACGAGGCAGACGGGTATGCCGCCCCACCGGTCACCGGTCCGGCCAGTCGCCTGCAACGCGGCGCGCAGCTTGTGCGGCTGACGACACAAATGAAGGGGCTGCTGAATAACATGGAGTACGAGAGCAACGACGTCCCTCTCGCACAGCGACCGGCATTGAAGGAGCGGCTAGCAGACTGTAGAAGGGACGCGCGTGGTCTGGAGGAGGAGGTCGCAAAAGTGCGTGGGAAGTGCGCCGCCGCCGACCGCGTAGACCTCATGGCTTCCTCGACGAAGACCGGATCGGCCCCCGTAGATGCCAGGGCTTTGGGTCTCGATGAGGAAACCGCAAGGCACCGTCTGCATATGATGCAGAATACGGAGCGGATCAAGCAGGCCTCGAATAAGTTGGGTCGAGCAGAGCGGCTGCTGAATGAGACGGAGGAGACCGGGGTGACGGTGATGCAGAACCTGCGCACCCAGACAGAGACAATGCATCACATCCACGCCACAACAAATAGCGTTAATGAGGAGATCTCGGAGGCGCGCAGGGTCCTCACCCAAATGCACCGGACGATGATAAAACACAAACTCATGCTGATTGGTATTATTTTAGTATTGCTTTTACTTATATTTGTAGCAGCGTACCTGTCGGTTTCGAAGAGTGCGGCACAGAAACCAGTGAACTTGCCGCAGACTCCAACGGATGCTCCAACGCTACCAACATGGATTCCTCAGACAGGAGGTGGGCTGCCCGCTGAGTGAGTCTACTCACCTGCAAATGGCCTACATTATATATATGTGTGCTTGCCCAATCGCGTGTAGGCGTGTGATTCGTATCTGCTACTGAGAGGCAATGAAATGGCAAAAAACAAAGACACTACGAGAGAGTGCGTCTGCGATCCCTGGGCCTTTGCGCAAGGGTAAGGCAAGGCGTGGCATTGCGTGTCTTGTGCTTCCTTCTTCACACCGGATTTTTTACTCCCTTCCCGTTTCTTTCCAATCAATAATAATAATAATAAAGCAAGAGTATGTGCTTTTCTTTTTCTTTTTCTTTTTCTTTTAACCTTTTGGCCAGTGAGATTGTATTGACACCTGTAAGGAGAACACCCACGAGGTAAAAGGGGGGTGCTACGACGTGTAATGGTTGCGGAGTCCACCCCGTCTGCTTCACGGTCGGCCTACCAGAACCTCCTGCAGGCCCTGGTGTACGAACGAAAGTCTATCAACGACGCCTATGACTCTCTCTTGGGACTTGTGGATCGGAACCTCCGCGACGACCCCACGACGACCCCTGTCACACATGTTTTGCACGGCTTGACCGGAATGCTGCGCTTCATCTTTGAGCGGCTGTACCAGCACACCAGTGAGACCGCCCTAACCTTTGTGAAGGAGATGGGTGTGGCGGAGGAGAAGTCATGCCTGGGCGCGGTGGCGGCGCTGCATGATGCCATTAAAGCGAAGCTCTTTGCCCTCAACGTGCGAAGGGACGAGGCCGATCTGCGGGCCACTCCAGCCGGGGAGGGCGGGGACAAGTTGAGGGGCGGGTGCCAGAAACGTTATGTCTTTGCAGTTTCATCCCATTACGACTGGGGGACGAAGCTCGAGCTCCTGGAGACCCTCATACACAAGCTTAACCACACAACTGTAGTGTTGCAGCGGTGTGAGGCGAGTAAGGAGCCCAGTCTTGCGCAGCAGCTCGGATGCAATGTTCTTGTCTCACCGCTAACACCAACCGCACCCTGTGCCATCCTGTATGCAACAAAGGAGAAGTTGTTGCAGTACGCTAACCCCTCTGTTGGGGATGAGGTTGATGATGAACTAGATGCGTTGCTGCATGCGCTAGACGTCTCCACACGCTCTAGCACCTCACTGACGGAGGCGGCGACGGTGAAAAGCCCATTCGCTTCCGCACCTGTTGTCTCTCGCAATGTTCTACAGGGGGACACATCTTGTTTCCCGAGGAATTCGATGGACGTGGTTGACACATACAAGGAGATGACGTGGCAACTCCCGGAGAATAACGGCTTTCATTCCTACAGACAGGGGGTGAAACGATGCCGTGTGGAGTCTCTTCCCACGTTTCCCGCCATATTTACAGCGTCACCGGATTCACAAGTGGAGCTGTCGCAGGTCATTCATTACCAACGCGAGCCCCCTTCTAAAACTGCACCTGCGTGGGATGCAGGCAACACGGATAATTTTTTGCCGGACCCCTCACTATGGCGGTTCCAAGTCAGCAATTCTCTCAAGGACTCCAAAGATGAGGTGATTAGAGCCATTCGTCTCTTGGGTGGTCGTGTAGACAACAGTAAACTGTATAATCCCCAAACAACTCACTTGGTCGTTGCCGAAGGATTGGCAGAGCGCACGGAAAAATATTTGAGTTGTTGTGCTGCACTTAAATACATTGTCTCTCCCCGCTACGTGTTTGATTCTGTGAAGCGTGGGAAATGGATCGTCGATCGCTTACATGAGTACGACAAAAATCCTTTGCGACGCTCGCCAACGTTCCCCGTAACGCCGCCATTTCAGGGTTGGCGTGTGGTGTTGTTTACCTCCAGCACTTCTGTGGATGCGGGTATTGTGGCGGTGCTGAAAGCCGGTGGCTGCAGAGATATCACCTCTTACCTTTTTGATGGTGCACATACACCTGATATTGACTATAAATGCATAGAATACTCATCGCATCTGCTGGTAGAATGCGAAGATGTCTCAAAAACAGGGCGGTTTCTCGCACCGTCATGGTTTCCGGATAAGTTGCGACGACAAGATCATAGACTCTTCTCCCTAGAACTTTTACTTCATTTATTGTGCTTCTGCCACTCTCCCGTGTTTGGCGAAGGCGGACGCCCCATAAATGAGCGGTCGTTACCTCCGTCATGTCTGCTGGAAATTTGTTGAGTCCACTTTGACAGGAAAGTACTCTTTGATGTGTGGTTGTTGTTTTCTTCATTTATTGAGGTTCTCAGTCTTTTTTTATTTTTGTTGTTTTGTGTGTGTAGGCGTGTTTTTTTTTATAATTTCTCTCACTTTTTTCTCTCCGTCCATTCCTCGCATTCCCTCTGCGCGCGCATGCCCTCGTCACCGGCATTGTTGCTCCCGCTGAGTGCTCTGTCTGCGTTGTTTCTTTGACTGCATGCCATTCGCTGCTTCTCCCCGACATCTTTTTTTTTTTTTTCCGTGCGGCCCAAACATCTTCGCCGTGCCAAGGTCACACAAGACACCACCAACACAAACATAAGACGAGAAGCAACCGGGAAAAGCTGTGTGTTATTATTATTGTTTGTGGGGGTCTGTGCAGAGATGATGGCGTGCTTCTGCGGCAGCTCGCTGATTCTCTCCTTCCTCGTCACAGCCCTGTTGGGGGCGTATTTGGTCTACATCATCGTCTGGGTGCCGGTGTACCGCTATGTGGCAATCATCATCATTCTGCTGTTGTTGTGTTTCAACCTTTCAGCGTGGCGGTTTCTGCCGTCCGAGTGCGCACACGTGCGTGAAAGGGCGATACAAATTGCGGATGAGCGTCTCGCCTTCAGCAGGCCGGCAGGGACTGCGTGACACATGAAATGCTCTCTCATCTTCCTGAAGAGGAAAACGCCGCTGCACACACTCTTTGGTAAGGCGTACTTTTTTTCATATATAATATATAATATATATATATATATGTAATATGGTGTATTTGGATTGGTTTGGCACTTGTGCATTTTTTTTTTTTATCTTATCTTCGCAGACTGATGTGCCACATGATCCGGACGTGGATTCTCCTGTGTGCTCTGGACGGGGCTGTTTAGAAGCCACAGGTAGCGTCTTGATTTTGCTTTTTATTTTTTAATTTTTATTTTTTATTTTTGAGTTTTGTTTTTTCTTCTCTTCCTTCGCGTCTTATTTAAATGCTGCGCCTACGCGTATGTGTGTGTGTGTGTGTGGGCCTCCCTCTCTGGGTGTGTGGGGGGTGAGGGGGCGTGTCTCTTTTCTGTGAGATGGTGGTGGAGTTTCCACACATCTCTGCGTGCCTTTTTTTTTGTGTTTTACCTTCGTTTCCCGTGTCGTGTTAAAAATAAATAAATGGTCTTCTCTTTTATTTTCCTCCTTCTCCCCCCCCTCTCGCCGCAGTCAACGGCAATAGAGCCGCGTAGCAGGAACTAAAAAGGGTGAGGAAAGAAGGGGCAATCTGAGTGCCTCCGCCACGACCTTTCTGTCTGGGCGTGTGTGCGTGAGCTTTCGTGGGTAAAGGAATTTCTTTTTGTGGTGGTTTAATTGTTTTACTTCCGCTTGACGCATGACGGTAGTGGTGAGCACAGGGAGGCGTGTCGCCCCCGGCGATGTTGTCTACGCCAGCGGTGCGGACTGCAGCGAGTGGGGCGACGTTGCAGCGGGGGAGGGCTGCTGCACACGACTTGTGGCCGGAGAGGCCTCCGTTGATGTGGCGGAGGAGCGGCAAATTATAGCGACGCGGCTCGGTGTCGTGCAGTGGAGCGAGAGCACCGTTTCCGTCCACCGCGCCCTCAAACGCAGACGGGAGTCCGCCCATGTCGCGTTGATAGCCAACGACGCAAATGACACCGACGCACCTTCCGTCTTGGCGAAGTCAACCACTGTCTTTGGCCCGGGGTTGGGGGACACGGTGCACGTACGTGTGGTGCGTGTGACGCGTGTCTTCGCGTATGGTGAGATCATAGCCGTCAACGGCGTGTGGTGCAGCAACAGCAGCGTGGGCGTTGGACTGGCGGGATCGTTCCGCGGCGTGGTGCGTCTCGAGGATATCCGCCCCTTTAAGCCACGGAAGGACAAGCTGGCCCCACCACCGCCTGCTGCCGCTTTTCATGCCGGGGACGTTATCATTGCGACGGTGCTGTCGCAGTCGGACGTGCGGCAGTATCAGTTAAGCACGATGGGAGAGCACTGCGGCGTGGTGGAGGCTGCCGTAGTGGTGGATCGCGTGCGGGTTAAGCTGCAGCACATGCCAGGCCGCCGGGACGCGATGCGGAACCCGATTGATGGAACCGTTCACTACCGCTGGTGCCCGCTGATTTACCCCGCCGTGGCGTAACGCACACGATTTTGTTCTTTTTCGCTTTTTTTTTTTTTTTCTTTCTTCCGTTAGCTTCTGCTTCCTGCGTGTGTGTGTGTGTGCGGACGCCTAAAGAAGGCGAAAAAGAAGAAAAAATAAAAAATAAAAACAAATCACACCCCCACTAGGCGAAGCACTCCTCAAGCCAACGAGAAAAGTAATACACATACGTACGTTTGTAACCTGCATTGATGAGCGAAGAAGAGCCCATTAGGCAAAACAACAACGGGAAAGCGTGTTTGGCTGGATTTGGCAGCATTGCTGTGATGTGTCTACCTCTGTGTTTGAACGACCTCGGCGCCACTCACTCAGTTCTTTTTTTCTCCTTTATTTTCCTTTTGGTTTCATTAAACGCACGTTATGCGCTACATCACAACACCAACGATCACGATGCCATGAGGAACAGCCACCACAGCCGTTGTCAACTTGTTTTTCGTCTCATTATTATTATTATTAATTTTAAGTTTTATTTTTTCTTTTGCCAAGCATGACGTTACTGTGCTCCTGCCTTGCTTACGTTGGGGCCTTGTCTGTCACGGTGGTCCTCTACCGTCTCGTGAATTTTGTCTACGTCAACCTGCTGGCCTCGATGGACTTGAAGCGCAGGTACGCGAAGGCTGGCGACTGGGCCATCGTCACCGGTGCGACGGAGGGCATTGGCTACGCCATGACGATGGAACTCGCGCGTCGTGGGTTTAACGTGTGCGTCATTGCCCGCACCCAGTCGAGCCTTGACGAGGTCGTGGCGGAGGCCAAGAAGAAGGGTGTGAAGGGGAAGGCTGTGGCCTTTGACTTTGCCGCCGCGGACGCGACCGCGTACAAGCGACTCTTTGCGGAGCTTGACTCCCTGGAAGTGGCCGTCCTCGTGAACAACGTCGGCGTCAACTACCCCTACGCCAACTACTTTGACGAGGCGGAGGTGGAGGATGACACACGAATGCTGAAGGTGAACTGCGAGGCCTCACTGCGCATGACGCGCTTTGTTGTTCCCCGCATGAAGGCGAAGCGCTCGGGCGGCATCGTCATGCTCGCCTCCGTCAGCGCCATCACCCCGGCCCCGATGTTGGCGGTCTACGCCGGAACCAAGGCGTTCAGCATCTCCTTTGGCCAGGGCCTTGCGTACGAGCTCAAGTCGTTTGGCATCGACGTGCTGGTGGCTACGCCCTCCTTCGTCGTGAGCAAAATGACGCAAGGTGTTAGCACACGAAAACCGAGGGAGTCGTTCATGATGGTCAACGCTGCGGCAATGGCGCGGCAGACACTCAACAAACTTGGCATCGTCACCCGCACCTCCGGCCACCTCAACCACGCGTTGGTGGAGCTCATTACAAAGGCTCTACCGGAGTCGTGGCTGGCAAACCACGTGCTGGCGCTGAATAAGGCCGTAAAGAAGCGTGCGGAACGCCAGCGGCCGCAGTAAGACACACATCAAATATTAATAAAAATGAAACAGCAGAAAAAAGAAAAAAAAAGCAACAGCAACCAAACGAAAGAAAACTAGAAATGGAGGTAACTGGGCGTGTGTATTTGTATATGATATGACTCTGCTGTTTAGCTCTGTTGTGTGTGTTTGCCCCACTTTTATTGTGAATCAAGTTATATATACACACTTTCTTTGAATTCTATTTGCCTATACGTGTGTGTTTCTTCTGGGAGGGTTAACAAGCACCTCGTACCCCACTTTTCTTCGACGCCTCTCTTCGTCGTTTATCTTGCTCTTTCTCTCTTTCCCTTTCTATCTCTATGTGTGTGTATTTCGCGGCGCTCGTGATATTCGGCGTCTGCAGAGTGAGGGGAGGAAGAAGAAAAGGCGCTGGGAGAAAAGAGGAATGACGGAGAAATAATAAATATGATGACGGAAAGCTGCATCAATTTAGCATTAAAAAGTGTGTGAGAAGAAGGTGAGTGGAATGATGCAGCCGCGGGGGATAGGGAGGAGGGAAGAGTGTTGCTTTCGCCCCTTTGCCGCACCGTGACTCACAGAGAAAAAAAAAAAAGAATGAATAGTAAAGTTACTTTGGCAGTGGGGGGGGGGGGGGGGGGCAAACTTTAAAATGGCATCCTCTGCGATGGCAAAATGTTCCGTCTCCGGTTTGTGTCGGTGGGTCACCTTTTTGCAGTTGGGATCCAACTGATGCCGTTACTCGCCTTTTCCTTTTCCTTTTTTGTTTTTGTTGTTTTTGGCAGCCTGCTCTGTATGAGGTAGAATGCCCACCGCTTCTGACGACGCTGTCACCTGCAGCTGCCACTCCCCCTCGCCTCCGTCGGGAGAGTACGCACACACGACTGAGTCGTTGGACATTCTGCTAGATGCGGAGACGCAAGCACGCTTGCAGCGCCGCATCCAGCAGGAGAGCTCGACAGAGATCGTCGAAGAACTCTTTCCGTACTGCTCCGTGTTTGCACCGCCTGGTATGTTTCCCATCCAGACAGCACCGGTGCCGCTCTTCATGGATGATGACAACCTCGTCTCCGACATTCGTGCGTCCTTGTTGAAGGAGCGGCATGATGCGGCGGTCGCGGAGGCCGCGATGGAGGAGGCTGAGTTGGCCGCACTGGAGCTTAAATGTATGCTGCTGGAGTCGACGCCATGAGGCCGTGTGTGTGTGTGTGGCGGGGGCGACGGATGAAACTTAGAAGGTGTGTCGCTACGCTTCTTCGAAGCTGTTTCTTTCTGTGCAGGTGCCACGCTATTCCGTTGGGAGTCATTGTTTTTTTTTTTTTTTTTGTCAAACCGCGTCTTGATTTGCGCTGCATGTGTTTTATATTATATATGTATATACATATATTGATGTTATTTGCGGTAGTTGCATCTCTCTCTCTCTCTTTCTCTCTCTCGCCTTTTCCACTTCTTTCACCTCACATGCGTGCCAGTAGAAGCAAAAGGGGAAGCGAAGGGAAGAGCACACCGCTTGAGAGACCCGGCCGACGGACATACCACCTGAAAGGTGAAGGGGCGAAAAGCAACAAGGACGGTGCCCTCACGCACAGGCGAGTTGGATCCGGGGCAGCTCGCGGCAAAGCAAGCGCTATAACGTTTTAAACACGAGTCAGCGGTGGGTCCCGGAGCGTAACAGGAGAGAGAGTGAGTGACAGAAATAGCACTAGGAGGGGCAATATATATATATATACATATATATATATATATATATAACTGACAGGGCAGCCATCCTCAGAAACATATTTAAAATGCCTAACCCAAGTGCCCTTGCCTTGATTGAGGCGCGGCAACGTCGCAAGGCTGAGCAGCTGTTGTTTGATAAGGCCCAGGCAGAGGACTGCCGGCTGCGGCTTGCCGCAAACTGGGAGGTACGCGGGGACGCTGTTATTGAGCAAAAGGACCTGATGCGCCACTTGGACAATGTGCAGGCACAACACGATGACGCCTTGGTGGCCCGTCGCAAACGACTTGCAGGCATGCTTCTTCAGGAGCGTGCCGACCACGATGCGATGCTGAACAAACTTGCGGAGACCGACGAACAACGACGCGAACGGTTGATTAAAAAAGCACGCGAGCTGCGCGAGCAGCACTCAGAGGATCTTCGTGCTGACGCGCAGAGGCGGCATGATCGTTTGTTCCGTGATAAGATTGACTCTTTGCGGCTGGCGGAAAGTCGACTGAGGGTGATGCAAGTTTCTGCTGCCCGCTTTGAGCAGCTTGCACTGGCGGAGCGGCGCCGCGAGGAGCAGAAGCACGAGGATGACTTCTTTGCCCAGCAACGGCTTGAAGAACAACGAATGATGAATGAACGGGCGAGGCGCGATCTTGAAATGCTGCACCTTGGTCGGGAAAATACTAAAAGGGCTCTGGCAGCGCAGGTGGAAGGCAACAAGGCTCGTAAAGCACAGGCGATGGCGGAAAAGCAGCGGGAGGACGAAGAGTTCAATCGCGTCTTGGAGGAGGAGCTGGCGGCGGAGGCGCAGCGGCGCGTGGAGGCCCGTAAGGCCCGCGCGATTCTTGCAAATGAGATGATTGCGTTCAATGAGGAGCTGCGGCAGGTGCGGCAGCAGGAGTACGCGAAGCTGCAACAGGAGGACAAGGAGATGCTGGACCGCATGCTAGCAGAGCTAGCCGAAGAGGAGCGGCAGAAGCAGCTGCAAAAGCACGAACGCTGGGATGCCTCCAGGGCAAACTTGGAGGATATCCGGCGGCAGCTGAACAAGCGCAAGCAGGAGGAAGGGGAGCTGGACAAGTTGTGGGATGAGGAGAACAGCAAAGAGTGGGCAAAACGGGAGGCGCGGTGGAAGGCGGATGAGGATAGGCGCAAACGACTGATGCACAACGTCCTCACCATCCGTCGGCAACAGGTGCTTGACAAGCGGAAGCAGGAGGAGGAGGACGCCGCCTCGGCGGCGAAGGAGCGCGAGGAGTTTCTTCGCAAGCTTGCAAACTCTGTCGATCTTGATGCGCAAGAACGCGCCCGCCGATACCAGGTGCTCCGGGAGGATCAGAAGTACCTTATGGGGCAAATGCAGCGGCGCGCGGCGGAGAAGGAGGCAGAGCGGCAGGCAGTTGCGAATCAGATGACGGAGCAGCAGGAGCTGAACGCCAAGTATGCAGAGCGCATTAAGAAGGAGATGGAAAACTTAGAGCGCGCAAAGCCCGAGCGCTACAAGAACGTTCCCCTGCTACCAAAGAGGTGTCATCAAGTCTTTTAGAACCGGCGGCAGGACCAACCGTAGTTACTGTCGGCGTGACGCCTGAGCGTCCTCCCCATTTTTTTTTTCTCCCCCCCTCCTCCCCTTCCTGATGTTCTGGCGTTTCGGTGGGCGCGTCGTTCACACAAGTTCCGCACGCTGGCGCAGAAATTGCATGTAAATTTTACCCACTTTTCGAATGTGACTAATTTTTTTTTTTTTACCTCAACAGGGAGGCGAAACGAAAAGAAAAGAAAAAAAAATGAGAAAAAAGGGATGCGTAGAGGTTATTGTGTGGGAAGCAACACAAACACGCACGAAGACCCCTCAACTGCACGTAACGCCGGCTGCTAGTCGCAATGGTTTTTTTTAAAAAAAATTTTGCCGATTTGCGCTTTATGTATTTTTTACACTTTTTTTTTTCGTATTTTTTTGCGTTCTCCCTTCCATTCTTCTCTTTTGCGCCTGCTTCCTCTCCGCCAACGTGCGCCGCACCGCGGGTGCAGAGGACTAAGCGACGCCAAAGTTTAAACCTTGCCAACCCAAGACTAAAGACCCACAACGCGTGCTTTTTCTTTGCTGTTTTCGTCGTTGCGCCTGTCTGCAGTGCGTGGCTCGGCCGGGCTGATGCGTCATTCCCAATTTTGTCGGGGTACCCACAGACATATTGCGAGAGTGACCGCAAAGACGCTCTGTTCCAAATCCCGCCCATAAGTCCAAGGCGCAGTTTGTCTGCATGCTCCACTCTTACAGACGTATGAAAAACACGGCCTGCCGCAGCTGGTACAGTGATCTGGATGCCTGCAAGAGTTCCGCCGAATCGCTGTGTGCCTGAGGCCACTGCATGGTTTTTGTTGGGCCTAATGAGGGGCGCGGATGCCTGTGAGTGCGAAGTTGTGTGCCATTTTTGACAAGACTGCTGAAATGAGATGCGGGGAATCACTTGTACAATGAATGCGGAGGAAGTCAAACGGGACAAAGTTAATTGCATGCGGGAGTGGTATATGTTTTTTTTTCTTTCGTTTACGGGGGGCCGAGGGCTCCGCCAATTAAAGAGAAAAATAAAACATTTGATTTTTTATTTTTTATTTTCATCTTTATTACTATTATTTTGTGGGGGAGGACGCTGCCGCCGCACAATTGTTCCCCGATGCGCCCACCCAGTTATGCCGAAAGGCTGGACAATTATTGCGCTGCGAGAGGAGGGAAAAGCCATCACACGACAGACGGCGCACCCAACAGATGAGCTGAGGTGGAAACAAGAGAATATATTGGGGGAAAGAATGATGGGAATCTCTATCCAGAGACCTCTGCCTATGCGCGTGGTGAAGGGCAAACGCGTTGCGATGTGGCGAGCCGTGTTGCTGTTTCTTGACCTCTGACGTTTTTGTACTCTCATTGCTGCGATATATATGTATATGCCTTTGCGTCTTGTTTAGATGGTGTTAGTTGTTGAATATTGTTGCGTCATTTGCTTTGATGTCTTGTGGTGCCTTGCTGCGCCTCTTTTACCTGGCGAGGTATCGTGCCCTCTCGCTGCAGACTGTTCACTGGAGCTCTTCAGCAGGTGCTGCGGTCGGACCAAAGGTGGAGCTGACAAACCATGATGATGACGTGCGGCGCCTGCTGGATTCCGTTTTGCTGGAGCTGCAGGGGGCTCCGCGCCGCTGGCTTCCTACCACCGCTGAGAATAAGTTAGTGGAGCTACTTGACAAGAGTGATGTCCCCGAAGTTTCCTCTGCACAGTCCGTCTATTTGCTTCTCGCCCAACGTCGTTTTGCTTCGAAGCCAGAGGCAATTTTTGTGTCGCTGAGCATCACTTCATTTGATGAGGTGACGCCGCGGTTTGATGGGGTCTGTGTTTTGTGCAAGCCGATGGGTAGTAGCAGCCTGATACAACGCCTCATTGTGCCGGTTGATATGCGCGTTGCGCTGCATGGTTTATTGCGTGCTGTCCTGGGTGTTCTGGAGCAAGCTGGTGTGGCGTGCTGGGCTGTTGGCGGTACTTTGCTTGGCGCTGTGCGTCACGGCTGCATTATTCCATGGGACGATGACGTTGATTTGGGTATTTTGTCCGCAGATGAGACGAAGCTTCGGGCCGCATTTGACTTTCCTAACACGGATAACGTGGGAATGGATCTTGTACTGGAGTATGTGCCTATGTTTGGTTACAAAGTATACAGCCGTTCCCTACCACCCCCACCACCACAGTCTCGAGATGGTACTGCCACGTGTATGAGGTACGGTTATTTTATCGATATCTTTCTTCTGGAGGAGCTGCAAGGGCGCTTCTTCTATGCGCGTGAGGAGGCGAAGCGGACGTGGCCGAATGAATGGTGGTATCGTGATGAATTGTTTCCCTTGGCTCGTGTGCCGTTTCGTGCTGTGCCATCGGACGGCCGTCAGATGCTGTGGCTTCCGGTGGCGCATTGCCCCCTACCACACCTGCAGCGGCTTTACGGTGACACCTGCATGCAGGAGGGTGTTGTCCCGCGTGAGTTGCATGGCCGTCTGCTTAGCCACCCGCTGCATATACCAATGACGCTATTTGAAGAGATGTGATAGACCAGAAACCGATTAAGCAGCCAAGTTCTTTTTTTTTTTTTTATTGGCCGCCCTTATACATTTCTTTTTGGCCTTGTGACACTTTTATGATGTATTTGCGGAGCATTCTTCTGGTGGCTGTCCGGGCGCCCTTGTGCATTTACCTCTCCCCCCGCACCATTATTTTTTTTTTGTTGTTGCCGTTTGCCGCGTGTCGTCGGCGTGTTGCACCACCCACAACGGGCAACGACGGGGAAGGGGAAAGGTGCCAAGGTTCACGTGTCTGCTCGGTTTCTCATGATGAGGCCGCAAGAAAGTTCCTTCACGCCCCCATACGGGCGGAAGCATGAGTTGTACCAACGATTGGGGGCACGGGTGAAAGCCCTTGTGGAGGCACCCTGCCGAAGTCTCACACCTCACTTTAATATGATGATTCTTTTGAGCAACGTAGCCGCCTTGCTTTTCTATGAACTTAATCAGCATTTAAACCCATCTGCGATGCTGCAGGAGCTTCTGGTGAATTGGCTAGGTTTCTACCTGCTTCAAACACCGCAGCTGCTTGCATTGGGCCCATTTCAGGGACGCCCAGCGTGCATGGAAATTAAAGTGGGACACGGTGTGTGTGGCAAAGCAGCACAGACGGGCGAGCTGCTGATCGTGCCTGACGTGCATGTCTTTTCAGGACATTTACCTGTTGACTCTCTTTCGAAGTCGGAGATTGCCGTCCCGATCAAAAGTGCCGCTGGACATGTGGTAGGTGTTATTAATGTAGCTAGTACACAGCAAGACATTTTTGACGACGTGGACGCTGAGGGTCTGAAGAACATCGCAGCGATCCTATCTCTGCATGTAGACTTTCCCATGACTCGCACTTTGGCGAAGAATCCACTTCTGGCAGATGCGGCATCTCTCCAGGCAACCACCGTGGCCTCACCTCTTTTGTCAGGGAAGGATGGCGACAAAGTAGGACCGCATGTGGAAGAAGATGCTGAACCAACAAAACAAGCAGCGTCACTGCACTCTTTGGCCACGAGAATGGCTGCGGCTTTTATTACCTCCGCACCACATACACCACCCGCATCGCCTGCGACCACGTTTACAATGATGGAAGAGAGGACTGGTGTGCAGAATCTTCCACAGCGGTTCTCGTGCCGTGTTGGTGGATGGGAGTTTTCTGTGACGGAGTTTTCCCGCATCTTGACACAGGAGGAGGTTCGGCATTACGAGAAGGCGCTTGGCATTGGCGCCATTCCAGAAATTCCACTTGCTTTCAACACACTTCGCATTGCTCCCGCAGAGAGGATGGATGCTCCTTTTGTGACGTTTTCGTTGCTGGAGGTGTTGCGCTCGGCGGCGTCCTTCTACCGCACCGACGCCTACAGCCAGTCGACTCTGCCACAGCTGAAGATTCCTGTCGCTGACTCGTGGAAGCATACAAAGTACGCCACCGTAGACGCAAAAGTTGACTGGGCGTGGCGGAACAACTACTTTGGTGTGGATGAATGGCGCTGCGCACTGAAGCCGCTTGAACCCTCCATGCCTGGAGTGAACTGGGGGCTACTGAAAGACAAGACACTACCCATTCTCTTCTTTCACAACTTTGACATATTGGAGGATGACGTTCATGATCACGGTGTCGTGACAAGTTCCGTGCGCATTCGTGTTATGCCGACGGCGTTTTTTATCCTCTTTCGTCACTTTGTCCGCGTTGACGGGTACCGTGTGTGGATACGGGAGGTGCGGCTTTTTCATGAGTTTGCCGTGAAGCGTCCCGATCAGCAGCCGCATGTCGTTGTTCGCGAGGAGGTGCGCATGCTTGATCTTGATGACCGCGAAAAGTATCGTCATTACTCCCCCGACGACTACGCGCTTGAGGCCACCGTTGTCGAGGCGCATGATTTCTATGCGAGTATTGAGGACCCTACGTACAGTGACTGGTGGCCGAGCATAGGCGTCTCTTGAAGCGAGAAAGGGGGGTGGCAGTGGTGGTGGTGGTGGTGGTGGTGGTGCGCCACTATATATATATATATATATGCTTCCTTCAGAACTCCCACACAATAACAGCAACAATAGAAAGAAAGAAATATATATACACATATATATATATATATATATTACGTGTGAATGCATCTTATTATTATTTATTTATTTATTTTTGATCCTGTTGGTGGTGGTGTCTTTGAGCCTGTGGACGCGTGGTGGCAGTTGCTTTGTGGTTGTTATTATTATTATTATTTGTTCTTGTTGTCTCCGTTTACTCTGCGTGCGTGTCTCTCTTGTGTTGGCGCGGCGGGTAAACGTGCCTGCCTTATTGTCTGGAACGTGACTAGATGACTTAAAAAAGATAGAGCCAATTCGAAAAGTAAAGTGAAGCACTGCGAAACGTATATATAAATATAGTTTTGGGTCATGATAAACTGTCCTCTTCGTCCGGTTGACGTCTTTGGGCAGCCAAAGACGGCGTTGGGTGAGAACCTGGAGCCGCAGCGAACCTGGCTGGAGTGGGTATTTATGCCACGGCACAAACCACTGTTTTACGACTTCATGGCGAACGCCAAGGCGGGCTTGACGGTGGCTCTTGTGAATGTACCGCTAAGTATTGCCCTTGCCATCGGAAGTGGCGCAACTCCAGGGCAGGGCATTGTGAGTTGTGTCTGGGCGGGTGTCATTGCCGCTATTTTTGGTTCTTCGCACTTCAACGTTATTGGCCCTACTGGGGCTCTCAGCGGGTTGCTTGCTTCGATGGTTGTGCTGTACGGCGAGGGCGTGTTAGCCCCACTCGCTCTACAGGCAGGACTTTGGATGATGCTTTTTTTTTGCTTCGCGCGGATCGTCTCCTGCGGTATGTGAGTTCCGGGGTGGCGCACGGTTTTGGATGCGCCGTGGCGATCGTGATTGCCGTCGGGCAAATTCCTTCGGCGTTGGGGCTAAAGGGCGTCATGCAGAAGGAGTCACTTGTGGATAAACTGAAGGAAGACTACAGGTGCATTGGGACGATCAGCATCCCAGACACGCTGCTCTTTCTTGTAACCTTCATCCCTCTGCTTGTTCTGTCCAAGCGCTACAACAAAATTCCATGGCAGATTATATTTACACTCTTTGGGATATTCGTCGCACAGATACTTCCGCGAGGATCCTTTGTCCTGCTAAGCATGAAGTATCCGGATTTATCACTTAATTTTTTCGCTTTCGAACCCCTTGATACACTAATAAGCCACCAGAACTTTCATCCGACAATCGTTCTATATGGATTTGGTATTGCCACCGTCGGGCTCATGGAGACCCTCATCAGCTCTCTTATTGCAAACAACCATGTGAACGATAAATCGTACTTAAACTACTCGAGTGCCCGTGATACGTTTGGCTTGGCACTCGCGAACATGTTCAGTGCGTTCTTTGGGGGAATTCCATCGACCGCCGCATTGGCCCGGACGGCGCTGATGGTTCACTCCGGCGCCTTTTCGCGGGTCTCCGGTATTATGTCCAGCGCCGCCGTGGCCCTTTTGTGTAGTGTGCTGCGTCCCCTCTTCAAAGAGCTGCCTATGGCCACTGTGGCAGCCATTTTGATGGTTGTCGCGTACAAACTGGTGGACTTTCACGACCTTCACATTCTGCATGTGATTGACACCGCTAACCTTTACTCCACCATTATTACGTGCGCCGCCTGCACCCTCACCGACACCTTTATTGGGCTTGTTGTCGGCATTGTGATTAGCGTATTGCTGAACTACAGTGATGCGACCTTGTCCGAGATCCTATTTGTAGAGGAGGACGAGGTGTTTGCATCGCCACGAACACCCCAACCGCGTGTCTTTCGGGTCCTCATTGTGCAGCCGCAGGAGTCACTTCTCTTTATTAACAGTGCAACTGTAAAAAATATCATATTTGAGAGGAGCCTTGCATTTCGTGAGTCATTGCCAGAGGAGACAAAGAAACGTCTTGTTCTTGACATGTCACTTGTGAGGCGCGTTGACTTTGATGGAACGAAAGCCCTCGGTGAAATTATTAACGCCCACCGTGAAAAGGGCTGGCTTGTCGATGTTATGAATTGTCAGCACCTACGCAACAGTCTGGTGCTTTGCACGCCGTATCAAGACCTGCAGAAGCTTGAGTATACTGAGCTGTACTGATCGTGGGAGGGGGTACGCTAGGAACTGCTGCTGCGGTGAGGTGGGTGGGTGGGCTAGTTGCCCTTCTTTTTGAAGGGAATTAGGGAGAGGAGCGCGGGCTAAGCAGCACAGATGTCTGGATGAGGCACCTACGCATCTTGAACACTGCGAATGCGCATAACTCTTTCCTTTCGCCGCATTTAGCCATGCATACGTGAGGCACGGCTGTAAGTGAGTGAGAAGTAAGTCCATGAAAGAAGGCGGTCAACGGTGGTGCATACATGCGTAAATGTACGCGTATTTATGTATAAATCGACTATTTAATTGATTTATGTGTGATTATGGTGTTTATCCATTGGTTTTGTCCCTTTGAAGGGACGATGGCAGTGACAGAGACCGTGCTGAGGACAACAGTCTGTCGATTCTGGTTTGACCATCATTATTTGCAACGATGCAAGTTAGGTGGGGAAGGACCACTCACGCATGCGCAGACAAATGAGAGGTGTGGTGTGACAATTCCGGCGGTGCCACGCAAAACAGTGGATGGGGGAAAAAAAAATAATAATAAAAAAAAAACAATCACCAGGTGTCTTTTTTATAATCGTATATTTGTATAAAGCAGTTGCTGCGGTATTCATATCTCTCTCCCATTTACCCTTGAAGCAACGCAACTTGGGCGTATCTGCCGCTTGTGGCTGGTTGTTGTATGAGCCTTGCGAGCAGACAGTTGGATTCTTTTTGCGGTATTTGGGGGCGGCGCTCACAGGCAAGAGGATGTGAAAAAAAAAAAAAAAGGACGTGGAATTCCTTCTGTGGTTGTGCGCGTGAACTTTGGTCTAATTACCTTTCATCTGCCCGCATCTGTTTCCTCGAATCCCTCTGCTCCTGTGGCCATGCACACTTTCTCCCCTCTTGTTACCCTTATAAGCGTGCGCTGCAAAGCGGGAAGGGTGCTGGCTTCGCGATGGAAATTCTCAGGAAAACGGCGCTGTTTCGCATTGAGCAGCAGACAAAAGGCATAGTGCCAGAGGAGGTAACCAGCGTTTCGTTAAGTGACGTGCCGCTACTACCAGAACGCCTGACATGCTTCAGCGCCCTGACACATTTGACACTGGTGTCGATGAAACCGAAGCTGAAAACACTGCAGGTTATTTTGCTGGCCTCCTTCCCGTCTCTCCGTATGCTGGATGTGAGCGATAACGCCGTAACTGTCGCCGAGAACCTCCCGTGCTGTCCCAGTTTGCGGAGGCTTTTTATCGCGAACAACTGCTTGAAGGAGTGGGCGGAGGTTGAGCGACTGGCGGCGGCGTTTCCAGAGGTGGAGGCCGTCGACATCGCGGACAACGCAGTAGCCGAGGCCTCCCGCTTCAACGACTTTTTTGCCTTGTTTCCAAAACTTGTGGCGCTCGACTCCAAGGACCGGGATGGGGAGGAAGTTGTGGTTGCGGACACGGATGAGAGCAGCTCCAGCCTTGACGAGGAGGACGAGGAGGGCAGCGAGGACTCATTCATCTCCGCAGAGGAAGCGGGGGACCCCGTGCAAAAGCGGCCGCGTTTATCGGAAGGGTTAGACGGCACCGAAGACGACGCACCTCCCGCTAAAGTCCCACGAACAGAGTAGTTGTGTCGCTCGCGTGCTTTGACCTTGAACCTTGCCCTTACGGGTCATAACTTCTTTTTATTCCTCTTTTCTCCATTGCTTGCCTCATCTTGCACGCCGCGTGTCGTGAATTGACACATACACGCACACGCACACTTCCTTTTGCATCTTTTTGTTTTATTTGTTAAAAAAATTTTTTTTTCTTTTGAACCCCACGCTCTTTGGGATAAACAAGCAAGAAAAAAAGAAAAAGAAAAAAAGAGCCCAAATACAAAATAACAAAACTAAACAATAACCAAGGAACACTGTTTCGACTTACTCCGCTGCTTCTCAGGGCTGGCATGTCGCGATACGATGTTGCAGGTGAACCCACAGCCGAACACATTGCCGAAAATTATAAGGAAGTCATGGAACGTATTCATGCCGCCTCTGGAGGACGTTCGGTGTCGCTTGTTGCTGTGAGCAAAACTAAATCTCCAGCGTGTCTGCAGGCGCTGTACGACTGTGGGCAGCGCTGCTTTGGGGAGAATTATGTTCAGGAGATGGTTGAAAAGGCAGGTGTATTGCCGAAAGACATCTGCTGGCACTTCGTTGGTCACTTGCAGAGCAACAAGGTGAAGGAGCTTCTTGAGGGAGTGGAGGGCCTGTGTCTCGTGCAGACCGTGGACAGCGCAAAACTGGCAAACAAGTTGCAAGATGGTTGTGTGAAGTATCGTGAAGGTCGCCCCTTGGACGTTTACGTGCAGGTTAACACAAGCGGTGAGGAGTCAAAGAGCGGCACGGAGCCGGGAAAACCGGCGGTAGAGCTCGCACAGCACATACAGGAGAAATGCAAGCTGCTCAAATTGGCGGGGCTTATGACCATTGGGATGCCTGACTACACGAGCCGTCCTGAAAATTTTGAATGCTTATTGAGCACACGTGAAGCCGTTGCTGCAGCTCTTTCTGTACCTGCCGATTCCCTTGCACTCTCAATGGGAATGACTGGTGATTTTGAAAACGCGATAAAAATGAGGTCAACAGTGGTGCGAGTAGGGACTGCGCTTTTTGGTCAGCGTTACTACCCAAAAAAGTGACTGTGGAAAGATAAGACGAGACAGGTGCGGTTATAGTGGAACCTAGAAGCCGTGCTCACGGGCCTTGTGGGCATCGGTAAACTTTTCTACAAGCGGCAATAAGTGGGGGTTGCGCGTAACTCAGCGATAAATGTGCCCTCCACCCGCACACATTTACGCACTTGTTTATTTCTTATTTATTTATTTTTGCTTCTTTAATCGTGGCCATTTTACATTTTCCCGTGTAGCCTCATTAATTTTCTGGGTAAATTGCATCTGTGGAATTTTTACCTTCATGCTAAGAAGCAGGGACTGAATCCGAGCGCTCACGCCGAATCCGTTTTCTTCTCCAAGGTGTGGTCACAACAGAGAAATCATAATGTGCGATTTCTGGGGCACATTGTACAATGACGGAGTGTAGGCTCCGAACCGAAGCAAAACAAGATAAACTATTAAAGCAGCAAACTAAAGGCGCTCCCGCCTCCAACGGACTGGCGCCGCCGTCCACATCGTTGCATGCTATGGGCAGATCAGGGCTAGAGGACCAAACGGGCCACAAAGGAACCGAGCCAATGGCTGACCAAAGTAAAGCTCAGGCACCTCCAATCTCCCCAAGCCGAATTTGGCTCGCCGAGCCGCAAGAGCCGCACAGAACACGACGTGCTCCGGTGCATCCTCACTGAGGCTGCTGCGAAACCTCGGCATTGCTTTTGTGCCTGGAGCTGTCCTTGTCGTGAAACCTGCCAGCATGGACGTCGAGTATACGCCCGGCGGCAAAAGGTATAGGGAAAGCGCGGGCGCCGTATCTATCTGACCTAGAAACCTCTGGCATGGATTTCTCTGCGCCCTTTTCGCGGCTATCATTACTTCGTTTTTTAAGGTGTTGCCGTTGGACGTGGATAAACAATCCCGGGCGGAATTTTGCACCGTGCGCAGCATGCCGTACAAAGGTGGGAGCGGGCGCCCTTGGTGGGGAGGAGTTTGGGGGCAGCATGGGGCTGAGCGCTGTGGCCACGCGCTTGTGGAGTGCGTCCTGCAAAACATATATCTTTCCGCACGGGTTGCATCGAGACGCTCTTCCATGCTTTCTGCTTTTCAGCGTCGGTGAGGGAAATATTGATCTTCCAGTGGCACTGCGGTTGTCGCCTAAGGTGCATTCTGCGTATACCGTGGGAGCCGCCACGGCGCGCGCTGCTTCCTGCACCCCGGGCACGCCGTCCTCATATATTGAGGCTCCACTGTAGTGGCGGGGCTCAGTTTTGGTTTTTGAATTGGCTGTCAGAAGCGTCTGCTGCTGGCTACATGATCTGAGGGGCAGAGTGATCTCTGCAGTAACATGTGCCGCCTTCACGTGTCGCACCGCCCACCCGGCGTGACACACCCGTGCGCAATAGGGCCATTAGAGACACCCTGGGTTAGCGGTAACACCGAAGGTGAGAACCCCTCTCGGTTGCAGTGGGGTCGGAATGCCACAGAGGGGGCGTTCCGAATGGACTTTGCAAACAGGTATGAGAGGCTAGTAGAGTAGATGGATACACGTTCCGGGGGTATGAGCACCGGAGCTGATCGCATTGCATCCTCAGTGCGGGACACGTTGCCACACGTCGGCATCTGCTGCTGTTGGGTGGTAAGTCTGCTGCATTTGTTCAGGGACGACTGAACACGGTGCCACTCAAGGCCCGTTTGTTGGCGCCGTAAGCCAACAACAGGCCGAAGAGGCCAATTGCTGACTCTTGAGTTTTCTTTTTTCTGAGACACTGAACGCCGGCACCGCTGCAAGGCGATCTGCGGCTTGGCAAGGACTTTTTTTCCCCGATTTGTCAATTTGTCAAATTCATATAAAAAATTGTCTCGCAAAAAAAAAAAAAGGCGTTGGAAAAGTAGTTTTAGGGAGTAAAAATTAAAGGTCGATAAAAAAAAAAATGGGCGGGAAGGTGTCAAGGGAGCGTGTCGATGGTGCCACTGCCACGGGCGTTTTGGTGTTAAGCCGCTGCAATCTCCACTCCTGGAAGAAAATTGTGAAGACTCTAGCGGGGCTGTCTCATCTCCGCGGTGTGGCGCTCGACCGGAACCGACTCTCTAAGCCGCTGCCGTCCAGCGTTCTACGTCTCGATATGTGGTTCACGCTGCGAACACTTGACCTTTCTTCCAACGACCTCACGTGTGCATGTGTGCTTGGCGGTCTTGGCGGCTGTACGTCGTCGAAGAAAAATGAGAAGCGGACTGACAGTTTGCAAGTCGTGTACCCGCTTGAGTCCCTCAACCTGTCAAATAATCGTCTGCTGCAGCTGCCACCACTTTTACTGGTCACGTTTCCCAAACTTCGGCGGCTTCTTTGTCGTGGAAATACGGTCCCGCTGGACATGGAGGGTGGGTTTGCGTGTCGCGTTGGGTCTGGTGCAGCTCTGACGATGATAGACCTTGGCTGCAGCCAGTTGCGTTCCTTTTATCTTCTCGATGGCTCTGTCGAAGGCGCTGCTCCGGAGGGGTCTTTCTTCCCCTCCCTCAGTGAGCTGTTATTGGACGGGAACAGTCTTGGCGGCACCTTCACGCTGGTCTCCAGCCAGTGGGAGGGGCCTAAAGCGGGGTATTTTCCTCTTCTGAAGACTATAAATATCGCATCGCAGAAGCAGATTTTGGAGCGTGTAGATCCTTCCGTCTATGTTGTGGCCCCTTCACTCCACAAGGTTATCCTCGCAGAAAACGCGATGCAGGATGCGATGATGGCGGATCTCCGTCACTCGAAGGAGTACCAGCAGTGGGCCGAGCGGCGCAAGAGTGGTGTGGATAAACAGCTGAGGTTTACTGGGAGTGCAGCTTTGATGTGATTCCATGGAGCTTCACGTATATATATATATATTGGTTTTTGTTGTTGTTGATTTCTTTTTTTTTGTTTGTTTATCATCTCGGTTGGGGAGAGGCGTGCCATTTTATTTCTTGTTGCCAGCTTTTCTGCCCGGAACTTCCTGGAGCGTATAACTCGCCCTGCGTTGGCCTCTCTACCACTTTGGCGTGGCTGCGTCACGTGGCAGGCGTTTCCGTTGCATTATTATTACTATTGTTGATTTCAGTTCCATTGCCTGCATAATTCTTGAGTAAGTACCTTTTTTTTTTTCGTTCCTTATCCGTATGTGTGCTCGTTTTTCGTCCTTTTTTACCCCACTTCACAGGCACACAGACTCCTTCACGACTGCCGCTGGGTTGGAGTTTGTGTTGCGTGACCGTGGACTGACTCGATGTCGTCGGTGTCGGTTGTTTTTGATCTTCGCTACACGGACTTGGAGCTTTTTGAGTCGGCGAGGAACGCTTTTACCACGGCAGTGGGCGAAATGCTGGCGCTCTCACGCGCTGCCGTGTTTGTGCGAGGGGAGCAGTGGCCACGTGTTGAGGTGTTCGCGGCGAATGGAAGTCGCCTTCTGCCTGTTTGGGATGCCGCCCGCGACACAAATGTGATGGCGGATGCAATGCGCATACTATCGGCGCTCACCCCGGTGCGTTCCCCGGCGCGTGACACGAACCAGTGCGTCGTGGACTCCTTGCAGCAGCTGTTGTACTTCACGGCTCATCCCACAACGGATAGTTTGCGCAGTCTCTTTTTCTTTACAACCTTTACAACGATCAGTGATTTTAGTCGCCTTGTGCACTCGGCAAAGATTCTCGCCATACCTTTTATGGAACATGCATGGGTCTCGCTTCACTTGGATGCCACCGCGATGACGACAACCTCGCTTGCGTTGACGCCTGCCATCCGCTCTATTCGATGTCCCATTGCCCCTTTGGTTATCCGCAGTGTGATTCAGCAGTCATTAGCGGCTTTTTTGCAGCTGCAGCGTCACGTTCCTGTGTCGCTGCGCTTTGGTCGCTATACTGTGCCATGCGCAGCGCGCCGCTCGTTCTTTGCGCTTCCCACGCGTTGTTGTACTGCTGAAGACTTTGATATGACGCGAGAAGGCGGGACGGGGGAATCCAACGGCGACAGTGCGATCATGTTGCTGACTGGGCGGCATGTTTGCATCTCCCACTTTGAGCGCGAACGCTGGGTGACGCAGGAGGTGGCGCTCACGGCGGAGGGTGTCGTGAGCAGCGATGCCGTGAGCGAGGAGGCGTTGTACGGCGACGGCTGGACACTCTGCCCGAAGGACTCGGGCCAGGGCGAGCGCCACCCCGAGGAATGGATGTACCACCTCTCGAATGAGCTCAAGGGGGATGTGCTCATTCTCACAACCCAGCAGCCGCACCTGGACCCGCCCCATCAGCTGGCGCTGCCTGTCTCCACGTTTGTTGGCTTCTTCCTGCGACCGACGCAGTTGTACCTACGTGCCCTCATTCCACCAGAGCTGCTCTGTGAGCAGCTGGAGTCTGTGGGGGCATGTGCCACGCGCTACCGCCATGACGCTGCCCTCTCAGATGAGCTAAAAAAGACGATGAACACTCTACGCACGGATTCCGCGGTACTCCGACTGAGGAGGCCGGCCGGCGTTTGTCGGACGTTGGTGCAGCTGCAAAGGAGTCAACAGTTCACTCTTCAGCTTGGCAAGTCACAGGGCGCCGTGAAGCGCGGCGCGGCACAGCCGCTTCATGCCCTTCACAGATAGTTATTCAGATCTGCCCTTTGTTCCTTGCTTTTACTTCCTTCTTCTTCCTTCGTTATGTGGGGGGAAAAACAATAACAACAACAAATTCTTTCCCCAGAAACAGAAGCAGAACAACAAGAGGAAACCACCATGTCAATATGTGCGTGGCGATCTGTGGTGCATCTGCTTGTAGCAGCGACACCGCACTCTGGCTATGTTTTGTGGTGCTGACGATTTGCGTGGCTCTGTTTCTCTTCTCTCCACTTGTGGACTGTCTTTGATATAAAAAACGGAGCAGAAATCGGGGTGGGAAAAAATAAAAAAAAAGGCAGAGAAGCGGGAGTGTTGCCAAACACACTGAAGTGTGAAAAAGTGGGAGAAAAAAAAGGTATAAATTTATTTCTAGATATCTTTTTTTTTTCATTTTTGATAAGGGAGTGAGCGCTACCGGACAATGCCACGTGAAGCCGCCAGCGGTCTGTGGAGGTCGGAGGACATGACGATGCTGCAGCTCACCATGCAGCGAGAAACCGCGCATGATTCTGTGTTGAAGCTAGGGCAGCTTGCGGAGTTTCAGTTCATTGACCTAAACACCGATGTGAGCGCATTTCAGCGCGACTTTGTGCAAGAGGTGCGCCGCTGCGATGAAATGGAACGTAAACTGCGTTACTTGCATGACGAGATTGAGAAAGCAGGCGTAGCAGGCGTCCCTGGACAGGTGGGAGAGAGGGAGACGATGTTCTCCCTGGAGGAGAAGGTGGATGAGCGGGAGTCGGAGGTGCGGGAATTGAACGAGCAGTACCAGTCCCTCATTGAGGAGCGTAACCGGTCACGTGAGCACCTGGAGGTTCTTAACCGCGACTTCAGTGCCTCTACCACAAAAGAACAGGGTCTTAATTTGATTACGGGTGTCATTCCCAAAGAACGCATAGCGATATTGGGGCGGCTTGTCTACCGCACCACCCGTGGCAACTCTGTGATGCAGACAGACGATATTGCGACCCCATTTTACAGTGTTACGACAAATCAACCGATTCATAAGTGCGTCTTTGGTATATACTTTCCGATGCCCCGGTTGCGTGGAACGCTTGGGAGGATTAGTGAGGCGAACGGTGCCACACTCTACGCATACGCAGGGAACGAGGAACAGCTGCAAGGCATGCGGGAATCCCTTCAAAATCAGGTGGATACAGTTACACACACACTTCAGCAATCTGCACTGCGTCAACGACAGTTGCTGATGGGGATTTATAGCAGCGTGTACGAATGGCGCCGCGCAATTGCTGTCGAGAAGGCAGTGTACTCCACGATGAACATGCTGCGGTTCAGTGGTGCGACAGTTGTGGCAAAAGGTTGGGCCCCGGTGCGCTCCCTCGATGACATACGGGCTGCATTGAAAGAGGCGGAATACTTAAGTGGGGCTCAGGTGCCCACCATTATGGAGGAGATCCCGACGAAAGAGACACACCCCACATACTTCCGAACCAACAAGATAACGAGTTCCTTTCAGGGCATTGTGGACAGCTACGGCATGGCACGCTACAAGGAGGTGAATCCAGGCGTTTTTACCATCATTACTTTTCCGTATCTTTTTGGTGTGATGTACGGCGACATTGGTCATGGCCTTATCTTGACCATCTTTGCGGCATTTCTTATTTTTATGGAGAAAAGCTGGGAAGGAAAACCACTCAATGAAATTTTTGCCATGATCTTTGGTGGGCGTTACTTGCTCTTGTTCATGGGACTTTTTGCCGTGTATCTGGGGTTGCTGTATAACGATATGTTTGGCTTCTCTGTGGAGGTATTTGCCTCCGGTTACCGCTGGCCGCCACTGCCACCGAACGGGCCAGACGGCATCATACGCCCCTCCTCCCCCGTCGATGTGACTCCAGCGAGGAGCGTCATTTTCGGTGTTGACTCTGCGTGGGCGGAGACCGAGAACAAACTGGAGTTTTACAATTCTATCAAAATGAAGTGCTCTGTTATCATTGGTGTCGTGCAAATGATGGTGGGGGTTATTCTCTCATTGATGAATCACCTTTACTTTGGCGACAAGCTCCAGGTATGGTTTCGTTTCGTCCCCGAAATTGTTTTTCTCTCTTTTACCTTTGGATACATGTGCCTGCTTATTGTCATCAAGTGGTGCACTTCATGGGAACATCGCACACATGATGCCCCGTCTCTACTGGAGACTATGACGAATTTCTTCCTGCAGCCGGGCACCGTGACTCTTCCTCTGTTCAAGGGACAGGCGGTGATTCAAGTGATACTGCTTCTCATCTCATTTGCGATGGTACCTGTCCTCCTATGTGTTATTCCAATAATGGAAAAGAAACACCATGATGCGAAGGTGAAACGCAAGTTGATCCTGCACGAAGAGGATGACGAAGAGGACGAGTTTGAGTTTAGCGAGGTTATGATTCATCAAGTTATCCACACGATTGAGTACGTTCTGGGGTGCGTTTCCAATACGGCTTCCTACTTGCGTCTCTGGGCACTCTCACTCGCTCACTCACAGCTTTCAGAAGTCTTCTGGAACTTTGCATTTCTTATGACGGTCGGTCTGGACGGTGGGTCAGGCGTATTTGTTTTTATTGGTTTCTGTGTGTGGATGTGTGCAACGCTGGGTGTGCTGCTGGGCATGGAGTCCCTCTCTGCCTTCCTGCATGCTCTTCGTCTGCATTGGGTGGAGTTCAACAACAAGTTTTACGCCGCAGATGGTCATGCGTTTGCCCCATTTGATATTGCGGAGGTTCTTAGCAAAATTAACTGAATGAATACATACGTGGAATGCGCCTGTGTGCGCGTGTGTAAGTGTGACTGTAGGTATTAGTTTCATCTTCGCTTGCGCCTCCCGAATGGGAGGCGCGGAGGTGGAGGACGAAGTGAAGAAGACGCGAGGGATTTGATCAGTGTCGGCAAACATGCGTTCATGAGGTGAATGTGCGGGGAGGGAAGGAGGGAAGCAATCAAATAAGAAGAGTGTGTGAGTGTGTGGTGGATAGAAAGGAAAGCGTGAAATATATACAACTGCGTGTGGAATTTCCTGTACCTTTTTTTTTCTTTTTTTGATCTTCTCTTCTTCCTGGATCTCTCGATGCATTTTTTTTTTCTCGCCACCTCGGGCGGAGAAGCATCCGTTCGTCGATTTTTTGGACGGGCGTGCTGGGGAAACATCTAAAGGAGATTGGACAGGCGACCAACGAACAAGGAAACAAAAAAAAAATTCAAATTTTTGCGCGCACGCGAGAGGGGGCGGGGGGGGGGAGGAACAAACAATTTTTTTTTGGCTTGAATGCATTTCCTTTCCGCACCCTTTTTACCCTTTTGTCATTCCTTTTTTTTTTTGTTTAGTGTGTCTTTATCCAGTTTCTTGCTGGATTCATTTCCTCCATGCGTGTGTGTGTGTGTGTATTGTGCTTGCCTCACTGTGGCTATCTGCCCTTTATTTATTTGTGTGGGTGCATGCACGCTGAGGCATAGGTGTCCTTTAGAGTGAGGGTAGTAGGGAGCGCACGATGATACGACGAGCCTTTTTTAAGGGGCCGCGCGTTAGGTGTCTTGGTGCTGTGGCTTTTCAATCCAGGTCGAATCCTGTGACGAAATGGTGTCCCTTTTCTGGGGGGTTGGGCACGGTGGAGACCAAGCCACTGGCAACAAGGACAGGGACAGTCACTTGTCCTGTGATGGGGGTTGCTCCACAACTACGGTGCCCAATGGAGACCGAGGAATACGTAAGGACACTGCCAGTACAACAAATAGTAGCACAGATGGGGAAGTTGAGATTGTCTGCTTTTGTCACTGCTACAACGGTGGCTGGGTATGTGATCTGTGGTGGGACGAACCCCGTGGTGGTGGCGGCAATAACGGCTGGGACGCTTCTGCAATCTTGTTCAGCAAACACAGCAAATCAAATAATAGAGAAGGAGCATGACAAGAAGATGAAGCGAACCTGCCGTCGCCCCATGCCTATGGGCTACATAACTTGTACAGGTGCCTCAACCCTGTCTGCTGTGGAACTCTTGGCAGGATCTGGCATTCTATACCTTGTCAGTCCACCAATGGCATCACTTGGATTTTTTAATTGGTGTCTTTATGTTGTCGTGTACACACCACTTAAGCGTGTTTCTGCTATAAACACATGGGTAGGCTCCATTGTTGGTGGAATCCCGCCGCTTATGGGTGGAATTGCTGCAACAGGGACGGTGACGGGCCCTGCCTGGCTTTTGGGTGCCCTGCTTGTTGCTTGGCAGATTCCACATTTCATGGGACTCAGCTTTCATTGCCGTCGGGATTACCAGGCAGCGGGCTATAAAATGTTGGCTTTCTATAGTCCTTGGCGTGCATCCTTTTATGCCGTATTGATGTCTTTTGCCATGGCGGGGATGACACTTGCGGGCCCCGCTTTGATAGGAATGCTGTGTGAGGGATGGTACTATCTTGCAGTAGCTCTCGCTAACGGTGTTATGATTTACAAGGCGTGGTTGTTTCACTGCATGCCAAAAACACATTGCCGTGGTTGCTTTGTTTTTTCTTACATCTATCTCACTATTGTTCTTACTGCGTTGGTGGTAAATCACTTTGGACCTGTCAATAAGTGCACCGCCGTGTATGAATATGTCTTTACGAAGCTCGAAAGCCAACGCAATGAGGTTGCTTCGCAGGGTCTGAGAGAGTTGCCATGGGAGGAGCGTATTTAGTGGCTTTTTATCGCACCGTTCGTGAAGGATTAAGAAGATGAGAGGGGAGAGGTTGTTTGGTAGGATCCCTCTCCTTCTCTTTCTGAATTTATAACTGTGTGTTAGCTTGGGGTGGAGGATAGGGGTAGAAATCTGTAGTGTTGAGAGGAGGCAGGGAATTGATAGAAGAGTACTGTTGTCAGTAATACGAACTCATCGATCCTTCCCATGTACATGGACTGAAACGGTAATACAGAGAGAGAAAGAGAGCATAGGAAAGAATGTATTGACATGTAGTAAGTAATAGGAACGTGCACACAGCTGAAAGAATAAAATAAACGGGACGATATATATATATATATATATCAGTGTTTAGGGGTTTCTCTTGTTTTACACATGGTGGCGTAAAGAAGGGGGGAGTTTGAGAGGCAATGGGGCATCAGAATCCATCATTGGCCTCAAAAATCTCTTTTCTGGTAGGTATAACGTCTTTAGTGTATGATAAAGAAGGGTTTTATGATGGCGTGCACATTTCATTCTGTACCCATCTAGGTACTGGTGTCTAGTTGTGGGTGCCTTCAACTTTGCAGTGAATCTACAATCAATGAACATAAAAGAAGGGGTTAAGATGAAGTGTTTGCCGCAATATCAGTTTTTCTAGTTATGCTTCTTTGTCTCGCTGCAACACGTTCTTTCCCTCTATTCCTTTTTCCAACCTCTTGGGTGCCTTTTGTAGAGTGATGGAGCCTATATCCCCCAGGACCCGGGTGCCAGACGACTGGATTCATCCTGCGTTGAAGAAGCAGTTGACGGACCGTGGTCATCTGGGCAGTACACCCAAGGAATGCATTGAATTACTAGAGAGGCAACACATCAACATGAAGGGTGCGGCGGTTCGCAGGCAGAAGTTGCTCGAGGAAAAGATAAGACAACTGGAGGAGATTGATCGACACCGCGAGAACATGGCAGAGGAGATTAAAGAGGGGGAAAAACAAGTGATGAACCTGCGTTACGTCCACGACTGTCTCGGGGAACAGCTAATTGTGCAGAAAACCATAGGGAAACAGGATTTTTTGGGCTTCTCAGGCGTAGATGATCTTCAGGCTTTTTCCTGCGCTCTTGGTGTTAGTGGCATCAACACATGGGGACGAGTGATGTCATGTTTTGCGACAGATGATGAAACTAGACACCGTTTTTTTACCAGGTACGCACCCCTCTTTACAACCATGGGGGATGAACCGATGACAGCTAGGCGAGTGACAGAGCCTGTGTTTTTTGATGAGATGTGCTTGGTGGAGACGGAGGGGCGGCGTTGCATCAACCCTGCGTGCCCCTACTGGCACAGAAATCAGCTGGAACACGTGAAACTTGGCTGTATGGAACTCTTCACACGTGCCGCGATATGCATTAAAGGGCACAGCAGTATATGCGACACAGCCTCCGTGTTTGCGAATTTTTATGCGTCAGTCGAGGCAACAACAGACCTTGTGGACGCTGTAAGGCTGCACCGAGATCTTCTTAACTGCATTGCAGACTTCGGATGGGCTGCAGCGCTCTTGGGGGAAGAACCGTCCTCCACGTGGGGTGCACCGCTTTTGCCGCCGCCAAACATGCCGTTGCAGCATGTGGCGTCGCTACTACGTGATTCAAAGGAACACACTTTATGGAGACATATTCTTGAGGCAAAATCGGACCCTGTTGTCGCAGCAACAACACTCTTTAGGCAGCATGCCGATTCGCTTTCATGGCGTTGTCTCATGCGCGTTGCAGGGACGACAACAGATCGTCTGCTTTGGTTGGCAACGCGTGGGGTTGCCTTGTTTCCTACCTCACCTTTTATCCGGCTCAGTTATATTTCCGTACTGCTAAAGTCTGGCTGTGTGGTCTCGGATTGTGTGGAAGTTTGCCTCTCTTCAGCGCAGCTGCTCTCTGATCAGGCGGCAATTGCTACGTATTCTCATCAAGACACACAATGGTGCGAGGTGACAGCTCGATACATTGCATATATGATTGCCATGACATGCGTTCATGTAGCAGATGCTGACCCCGAGGCGGCGGCAGGTCTTCTTAAAGCCGTGGTGGAATTGCCGGGTCGTATTTGTCTCTTACCGCTTGCACTGCAGAATTTAACTTTGTTTTTGGTTGTTCTTCGACAGACAAAGCGATTGGAAGGGGTGAAGGTTCTCCCATTGGCCTCCATTTCTGATGTTGCATTTACACTTGGCGAGTGTTTTCCCCAGAGTTCCCAGGAGGAGTGTGGCCGGCTGCTCTCGCGGCAGTTGAGTCTACTTAACTTATGTGCCTCTGAGGGCATTGATACGGCGTTGACAGAATATATGCGATCTCATATGCATCTTTCACTCATACATGCGTTTTCCGCCGACACTCAGCTAGTTCACAAGATTCTTTTCATGTCGCCTGTGCACTCAGCGCTTGGGCTAGCAGAGATCTGGGTTGAGTACCTTCGCTTTGTGGGACAACGTGATGGGGCACTGCCTCTTATCTCGTTGGTACACAACTTATTAACGTCTTGCCACTCTCCGCTGCTGGTGGTGCGCCTTGTGCGATTCCTCCAGTTTTATGATGAGAGTGTGGAAACAATCATAGATATCTTCCTTGAGAAATTTGCGACGCATCGTGGTATTTCATTAGAAAATGTTCCTCAACTGGCAATGGCGCATCCACCAGGTATTCCTGCTGAGGAGTGGATCCCGTTTATTATATTGTATTCTCTTCGCCTGCGCCTGCCGGAGCGGTTGGAGTTGTTGCTGGGTGTACCTCTTGATTTGTACTGCGAGATGGTAGAGTTGGTCGTACTCTTGTGGCTGGAGACACTTCAGGTGGCACTGCTGCTACGTGATGATAACGTCTTTCGCCACTGTACGAGACAAGGCCTGCTGCTACTCCGTGAGCCCTTTCTTCACCAATTCAGCGCCGTCGACTGGGGTTTTGACGACATGGTTTCATATGCCCATCTGGCGACTCTCATGGTGTACAGGGCCGTTCCCCTATTTCTTGGCACGGCACACGAGCTCACTGCGCACTACCGTGGGATTGTGCTGGAGGTAGGCGGGGAGCTGCATGTGGTACATCCTTTTCTGCTCTCGGCGGAGTAGAAGAGAAAAAGTCAACCTCTTTTTTTTTTTGAGCTACTTTTCCGTCTGACTGTGTGCATGTCAGTTTGATGTTCCTGTTGCTTATTATTATTGTTTTGTTTTGTTTTTTGTTTTTGTTTGTTTGTTGAGACCTAAAGCATCTTGCGTGGGGTGTCTCCGTGTTATGGTCCCTGCTGTTTGCTTCCTTTCTTTGACGTGCCGTTCCCGGCTTTGGCTTTCTGCTTTCCCTGCATGAAGCATTAGGACACGGCGCGCGGTGCAGCCCTGGACATGACGAATAACCGGTCCCGTATGGCCTATCAAATGGGAGAGCCTGTTATATGTGCAGTCTACCCAACGTGTGTTTTTTTTTGCTGGGACCCCCCACGCCCTGCAACTGCGGCGATAGAGGCTAATCGCTCACTCTCATGGACCTACGAGGTGGAGTGGGTAACAAGCCACAACCCAAACAAAAAACACTCTTCAGGAGCAACGCCGTATTGCCACGCTGTCATTGAAGTAATTTATCCTAACGAAGTTATGAACATCCGCGTTGTTGCCCGTGCCAATGTTTCGGCCGACGTCGTCGCATACAGTTCCACAAGCTGTACAATGAACGCTGGCGTGACGATTGCAATGCCTTGGCTGCATAAAAAATCCATGGAATGCCGTTGCATATTTGATGGTCTTCTTTTCTCAACGAATGGGGCGCAGTGCATCGAGGCAATTCCAGATGAATTGGATTATGTTAAGGCGACAATAGCGTCTGTGTATATGCTTGAGTCTAGTTTTGCGTGCATTATTGTAAAGGCTGTTTACGGTGACCCGCCTCTGCCAATTACCACTTCAGCTGTGTACTACTTTGTTGTGTGCTCCAAGGCTCTTGTGAGGCAACGGGAGAGACTGCGTCACTCGGGTATTCAAGAGTTGTTGGAAAAAGGGGAGGCGTCTGCGGTCTTCTGTGGTATTGGTGAGATGGGGTCCTCCGCCACGTTGGCGGCGCATATATTTATAGCGTCTATTCCCGACTCGCTTAACAGGCTGCGAGCGCGTGTCTTTTGTATTGCGTATGGGACACCTAGGCGTATGTTTTTTGAGGATTCTTTGGTTCTCGCCTCCACCCTGGCATTCAGCGGTAACTTTTTGTACTACACAGGCCTCTTGGAGGCTCCTGACCCCTCGAGTGGCTACAAAAATAGGCCGCCCCCGCCGCAGGTCATCAAGGGGAAGGAAGCCGTAAATGACACGGCTCTGCGCTTCAATGCACCACTTGGCGTGCGATGTGGACCTCTTCTGGATTTGCAAGAGGGGCGCCGCTACTTACGCACGCGTTGCTCTGGTTTGGAGACGCTAAGCGAGGAGGAGTGTCACGAACACCTTGATGTTTCGCAGCAACTTCGCATTTTGAGTCACCTGCTTCTTCCGGGAGGCGAGGCGGTGTTGTTGCCTGCTATCAAAGCGGTGGAGCACACGGTGGAGGACGGCGTCGTGGTGTGCCTCCACATTACTGGCGCTAACCTGCAGTACCGGCCACAGATCTGTGTGTCTTCGCACGGTGGCTGGCCCACGCAGGTCTCCGTTACACATGTGAGTCCGCGGCAAATAAACGCCACATTTTCGTTGGTGGCGATGCTTAGCGTGGAGTCGTCTAAGCGACTGAAGCCTCTGCGACGGTTGCGAGTCGATTTTGCGTTTCTCACGGACATTGGACATACCTCCTACGTGAATTACACCATCGATGTTCCTGAGGATGTCGCTGAGTTAATATTTCTTGAAAATAGAAGCGAAATCCCTCACTCGTGGATTTTTTCACAACCGATGAACCTCATTAATAACGCCATCGTTATTGAACCACTTCTTACAACCCCAATGACGAAGGAGCCACGCAAGTTTGAACTGGTGCGACAAGCTTCCACTGAGATACTCGAGGCTCTTTATAGCATTGGCGAAATAGGGAGTTACTACGTAATAAAGAAGCAAAATGTCGGTTTGTTAAGCTTTGTAGCTAATGTGGCAGCAAAGGTGTCTACCTCAAGCATGACGTCTCAATCAATGACTCCAATGACTATTGAGGCCCCACTTACGAGGGAGAGAGTCTTTGAGAGAAAACTGGGGGAATATATCAACAGCAAAAAGCGGGCTGTTTCCAGTTTACTTTCTAGCCTTGCAACATGGAAGCAGCGACTTCATCGAGGTCTACCTTGGATGTGTGATACAAATTACAGGGACAAGCTATGCTATTTGTTGAGCGTGTTTGAACAGACGCGTCCTGCGCCTGATACCTCCCTCGTTTCATTGGAGATTTCTCTCTTCACATTTGTCCTGCGCTTTCTTCGGAACACGTGTGGTGTGGAAAATCTACAACACCTCATAAGTCTTCACCACTACATGAGCTTTGAAAAATTTTACCAGCTTGTGTATCCCGTATTTCTGGCCTCTACCCCAACACTGGAAAATGCTGCTTTTGTGATTGTACTGGAGTCTGCCGCGCTGTGGGCGGTCTGTCTGATTTTCCACCTTCGCTGCTCGTATCTGTTTAAACATCTGATTGCCGTGACAGGGTGCAGTGGATGTGGCTGTACAACTATTTGCAACGCCCTCGCACGCCTATGCATGGAGCAGGACTACAGCTTCCGAAACAGTCAGCGTGTGAGAAATATTTTGATTTGCCATTCGGTGGAAAATGAGCTGGATGATTTGAAGGAAGTTCTTCTGCTTGGTGTAAGTGTCACGGTTGTTGTGGTCGGTGAGTTTGCGGACATCAAAGGCATGGGGTATAAAGCGATATGGGGCTCAATCCGTCGCTCGGTGCGTAACGCCGAAAACCAGCGAATTTACGCTTTCATTTCAAAGGTTGACGAACTGGTGGGTTTATGCAGCGGCCGCGGCAGTGAGCTTGACAAGGGCGTCGATCTGGTAGCCGTGCTACGTGACACTGCACTGGCGTCGGTGTCAGCAGGAGGAGCTGGGAGAGATGTGCCGAAGCACCTTGTTGCGGTTTCCTTTGCGCCATCTGTGTCGTTTCTCAAGTCATCACGCTTTCTTCAGCTAAATGGTGTGTCTGCCGAGGCCTTTGCAGAAAGGCTTTTAACAGTTTCCTTGGGGGAACTTCGTCGGATTCTCTTGCGTGTTCGAAAACGTAGTCATCATTAACACCTTTTCTCACGTATGCCTATTTGCTCCTTTTTTTTTTTCTCCCAGTCCATGTTCTGCTTGTTGCGTGTGGATGCGTGAATATTATCCTCTTGCTTCTTTGCGCATGCTGGCTGCCTTTTTTTTTCTCTCTCTTTTTCTTTCTCTCGTCCTCTCTCACTCTCTGTGTCGTTGCCTTTCCTTTGGTTTCCTCTGCTTTCTTGTTGTGGTTTTCGCCGGGGTCTTTAGAATAGTTTAACTGATGGGGTCAGTTCCTGCAGAGTCTCTTGAACTGGAGGTGCTGCGTGCCCCGACGTCCGTGAAGACCTGGCTGCGGCTTATTCACGCTATTCAGGGCGCCGAGTTTGAGAGTAAGGCCGCAAAGGCCAACGCCACAAACGTCGCCTACGAACGTGCCATCAGAGCAAATGCATTTTCATATAAACTCTGGGTGAGCTACATTGCGTACCGCTACGAAAATACAAAGGAGCTCTCCTCATGGCATGAGTGGTTTCGAGCGCTACGAAGCATTTATGACCGGGCCGTTGACAAGTTGCCTATGATGCCACTGCTTTGGGTGTCTTTTTTGCAGTTTCTGATGGATGCGGCAGTGCCCCCGCGTTTGACCCTCGTCAGGCACACCATTCTTCGGGCACTGAGGGCTCTTCCAGTGACACAGCATCATCGTGTGTGGAGGCTCGCAAAACGCTGGACGCAGCTACCCTACGTACCCACCGAGACGGCACAATACCTGTGGAGGTTGCATCTCTTGCTCGACCCACGTGCCTCAAATCAAAGAGATTACTTCCTTATGTTGTGGGAAAAGGGGAACCCAGGTGAGTTTCTCACAGAGTGTGCAGTATTTATCCTCGATGGCCATCCACACGAAGAACTCTTGCGAGACACAACCTTCTGGGAGACAGTACGCCTCGCTCTTGAAACGAAGGATCTGCGCTTTGTCGGCGACTTTGTACAGATAGAAAAACTGGTGGAGGTGGCGGCAGAGCATTGTGCATCTCCATCCGAATTAAACATCTCACACACTGTGTTCTTGGCTGGCCAAGGAGAGTTTGAAAAGGCCCGAGCAGCGCTTTGGGCACTTCTTGAAAACGCGGGTGATACCGGGATTTTTTCCCGAGTCTTTAGCATGGCTGTGGCTTTTGAAGATCAGATCATTGACTCCCTAGCGATGAATTCGTCTATTCAAATGTGCACTGCCGCAGAATATGATCAAATCGCAAGAAAACTCTGCGGTGGCACGCATGATCCTTTACATCACCTGCTTCGCCTCACTCAGCAGCACGCACTTCTACTAAATGAAGTTCAGCTTAGAGAAAATCGTTGGGACACCACTATGTGGCTTAAGCGCGTTGAATTGCTGCAAGAAATGGTGTGTGATAATCGCGCCTCCCGTAAGGATGTGGTTGCGCTCTATCGACAGGCCATTGCACAGTGCACCTCCGGGATTCAAGTGGTGGATGTGGAGGTGGCGCAGTTGTTTGAATCCTATGCGTGTTATCTTTGGGACACCGAGCCCAGGAAGGATGCCATTGCTCTTTTAAAGGATGCCGCCTGGCATCTTTCCTTTTCTTCAACCACTGGTAACCTGTTTTTGGTGGGGTTGTTTGTTGAATTTATGCTTCTTTCCTCCACTCGAGCGGATTGCTTGCGTGAACTTCTCTCAAATCTTCAGGCAGCTGAGGCAACCAACGTCATTCGATCCAGGGGACTGATTACAGGTACGGTGGTAACAGTTTTACAAGAGGACCCTCGTGCATGGATGTTGGCTGTGGATGTTGCTTTTGATGAGTCCCCAGAAACTCTAGGGCACGTTATCGACTTGTATAATAATTCAGCTGCTTACTCAGCGGAGGGTGCCTGTTATGTGGCTGGTCGACTTTGGCACAGTGGCTGCACGCATGAAGCGTTTCGTGAGTTTGAGCGGGCTCTGGTTGCACTAAAGAGCACGCCGCTGGCAATGTTGTATGTTCTGCAACAGTACTTAAGCTGTTTGTGTCTGTCCCTTGGGGAGAAATTGCCGCTTCACCGTCTTCGTGAGCTTACGCGACTGGGTTTGGAGGTAGTTCCGCTCACTCTGCATTCATGCCCCACCTCCTCGGTGGAGTACCTCCTTAATTGTGCTGCTTTGGAGTCTCGCTTGGGGCTCTCTGGCACTGCTGTTAAGGTCGTGCAAGACTGCCTTGATGTGGTTCAACGACGTGGGGGTGTTGCGGATGATTTTTTGCTGTGCCTTGTAGATACCGTTCTGGATGTCACCCTGACACTTCAAGGGAGCCAGGTGTTTCGTCAGTACTGCGCCAAACTGCTTCAACGGTCACATCTAAGCCCTTCATTTGTTCAACGGGTGGCGCTCTGGTGGGCGGCAGTGGAGAAGCGCACAGACAACGTGGAAACGGCGCATACAGTTATGGATGCCTGCTGTAAGCTGCAGGATCCCAACAGTAGCCACGGTTGTGTCTTCTGGAGTCTGTGGGAATCTATTTGCACCACGGTGAGCCAGTTTGAGGAGGTAAATAAGCGCAGGCAGCAGGTTGCCCTGCAGTATGCAGATAACTCGGCTCCAGCGGCTGAGGCTTCGGTGGCACCCAGGGCAACAAAAACATCGGCGTGAGTACGGAGAGCGGGGAGGGTGACGCTAGGGCATACTTTTTTCGGACCGTGTATTTCCTCATCGTGTAATGAACGAAACTGTGAAGCATTTAAACGTGGAAGGGCAACAGAGACAAAAAAAAAAAGGGAAGAAAGAAAGGTGCAGCCTGATTGGAGAGGATCATCATAATGATGGCCTCTTGTTGTTGCTGTTTTCTTTTGGATGCACGTCTGTCTTTACCACCACTCTTCCTTAAAAAAAAAAAAAAAAAAAACTGTGCTGTTTGCTTGGCGATACAAAGCGCAATTGCGTAGGAAGTCATCGTGCTTCTGGCCGGCATCATTTTTTTTTCTTTTCTGTTGTTGTAGTTTTACCTCTCATGTTTGTATACGTGACGCGAAAGGAATTGACGAAATGAGGCGACGATGAGTGTTGCTCACCTTTGCCTTTATTGCATGTCTTCTTGTTTGGGAACTACAGTCATATAGCGAGGAGGATCTCTCGCGTGTACCGCGGCGTGCTCCTGCGACGGTGGTGGAGTCTGCGTTGAGCCGGCATGCCAAAGCAGTCAATTTTATGGGTGTCGTGTCACGCTTGTGTGAGCAACTCTGCACGGCTGCGAGGACGCCGTCATTTTGCGATCGTGAGCGTTGCTTGCAAGTGCGCGGCAGTGTCTGCTTTGATTTCTCGTAGACACCGTTCATGGATGTGCAAGACGAGGTGAAAACTGTCGATGTGGTGTACATCGCCACTGGGGAGCGCTTTTATGGTCCTGGGGGGTAGTCGCACGTTTTGAATTCTATTCGGCAATGGCAGTGCTTTCATTCGCCTAGGGAATTGCGGGTATTTTTGGTGCTTGATGACGCCTGCGTGGAGGATCCACGCATCGTCGTCGCCTTCCGTGAGCTACTGAGTATTACATTGATTTCCAGGAGTCGTGTTATGACGTCTCGGCTGAAGCGATATTGCAGTGTGTTTTGCATTCAGGGCTTTATGCGCCCTGGTGGGAACCGCTCAACAAGAAAAAAACAGCTTAATAAGCTTGTGATGGAGCGTTTTTTTTTTTTTTGCTTTGGCTGCTGCCATGCGACAGCTTCGACTACGCCACGTGCTACATCTGGAGAACGATAACATGATTTATGCTGAAACGAGGGGAATTGCCCGCGCGATTGCTCGATGTGGTTACAGAATGGCCAGCACAGCAGCCTCCGTCGACCGTTTCGTTTCTGGAGTTGTGTACGCAAAGGATGCGGGGTCCGTTGAACACTTTACCGACTATGTGAATGATTTTTTGAGTTGCGGGAAGAGGTTTGGCGTTGCGGTGAGCCGAGAGGTGACGCGGAGGAAGCACCCGTACGCAAATGACATGACATGACATAATGAACTATTATCAGATTTTTGGTCCTTCCTACATGGGCGAGCTTCCGGCGTGGATGCATGCAGCGGACGAGAATTGTATTGTTAAAAGCTTAAAAGAGATGGGATTGCTGCCTTACTTGTTTGACGCGGCCTCCTTCGGGCAGTGGTATAGCTTTGCTGCCCTCAACGGAACACTTCTGCCCCCCTGCGAGGATCTGAAAGGCAACGAGGCAACTCTACTTGGATGTCACATCACCGCCTCCGCTCACATGGATGAAGGCGGGGGAGAATCACATTTTACTCCGCAATAGAATGTGATTCTCCTCGTCTCTCTGCACATTCACGTGAAGAACGTGAAGAACTTCTCTTCGCGATGATGATTGTGCCGTTTTTTTTATTTTGTTTTCCTCTCATGTAGTTATCAAATTGGTTTGTTGGCCCGTACTTCGGTCACAAGGGGAGGCAGGGTTGAAAAAGAGCCCTGACTGCCGAATTAGTGGGGCTTTAGGGGTGAAGCAATATGAAGCGCAACCTCCTTCCCCCACAGCCACAGAGGAACATTGTGGAGCTCCCATCTTTATTCTTTGTTGCCGATGTTCCAACAAAGCGGGGAAGAATGCGTTGAATGCTATTTGAGTGGCTGCAGCCATTGATATCATCTTCTTTGAGTTGTTCTCCTTGACTTTGCTTTTGCCCCCTCCTCTCTCTCTCTGTGACTGTGCTCGTGTGCCTGGCTTTTTTTTTTTTTCAATTCGTCATGCGTCTTGCGCCTTTGTGTCTGGAATCCTGCATTGGCGCTTACAAGACAAAAATGATTGGCGTCAAAGTTTTTGAGTTGCATACCGGCCCGCGCACGGTGGAGCGAGTGCAGCTTGAGAAGAAGGGCACGCTCGCCGCCCAGCTTTCCACACTTTCGGTGGCGATTGGCAAGCCGATAGGAATATCTTCTGCTGCGTTCCACACAGTGAGAGGAAATGCCATTGACAAGGAACCGCTTGCCACGGATGTGCCTTTGGATACCATTGGAATCACAGACGATAGTTTTCTTGTCATTTGGTTAAAAAAAACAAATATGACGCCTCAAGATGAGCCACAAAAGGAGGTGCAAGGGTCAGATGTAGATGGCTGCGCATTTTCGCATGTTGTATCAAATGCTCCCATGAGTGAGACGCCCTTGCCGGGGATGGGTTTAGTGAGCGCACGCACACTGACAGGTCCGATGGAAGAAGCTACGACTTCCATCACACCACCCGCTGTCACCTCACAGCCTGTACTAACCGGGACTGCCAGCACGGACGGAGCCAATAGCGAGTGGGTGCTTTTGCTTCTGCGTGAGGTGGAAAATGCGAAGCAAAAGATGGACTTTTTCTGGGAGAGGTGTACAGCTGAGCTGGAGCGTGACAACTCTACGTTGGAAAAGGAGCATCTCCTGACGGTACTGGGATCCATAACAAGACTGACAGAGCAACAGCAGGTTGTGGAAATTGCAATAGCATCGCTGCAAGAGCAGACAGGGAATCGAGTCCGGGTGGCATCGGTGCTTGTTTCAATTTGTGAGGTTTATGCGAATATATTGAAGGAGTTGGCAGCGACGCGTCAGCAGGAGCGTACAGGTGTGCAGGATAATGTTGCAGCAATCATGCAGCTTCAAGGGAAAATTCAGGAGAATGTCCGCTCTCTGTTACCTGCAACCCCTTCGAAGGCGTCTATTCAACGCCCCGTAGCCGCTGCAAGCTACGTGAAGGAGGCCTCCCGTCTTTCAGCTTCTTCCTATACAATTTCAAAGGAGGAATATGCCTTGCATGAGAGTTTGCTTCAGCAATTTTTTTCTGCTGTGGGACATGTCACAGTTACGGGAAGTGAGTTGTTGACTCACTTCGATAATCTTGGCGATCTTTACGCCGCTGTATCAGTACGGTACAACTTGCAGCATAGCCTTATGCAAGAGGCGGTGCGGAGGTGTTTGCAGTTGCATCTACCACCTTTGGCTCCTGCGACACCCATTGTTTGTTACCTGCACAATGGTCGGGAGGTGGAGTACGTGGAAACTATTGTACTCCACTCGCTTGGCTTGAATTTGCGTCCGCCGCACTTGTGGATTGAGGTTGCACTTCCTCCTGATGTAGAGAATTGCTGCCGCACGTACTACTATTCTTCACTGGTAGGCCTCAGTCAACGTGAGAAGCCAACATGTTTGCAGTCGGTGCAGAGGGACGTATGCCGCTTTTCTGAGCTAAAGAGTGTTTGCCCCCGACTCAGTCTACGTAATCCGCAATGGATGGAACACGATAACCACACACATGCAAGGCTGCGTCGAAGCAAACTCGCAGCCGCCCTCCTCTCCCGTCGACCGGATCTTCTAGTAAACATGGATGCCGTCCTAGGGTCGTACACGGGAAGGGAAGAGACACTCTGGAAGTTGCTTACTGCGGGAGTTGATAGCTAGGCTCTTTGTTATCGTTGTTTGTTTGTGTGTATGTTTTTTTTTTTGGTGCCTGCATCTGTTCACATTTTCAGTGTAGTTGCGTTTTTGGCATGGCTGTTGTGTTGTTGCTGGTATTCTACGGGTGGGAGGGCTGCGATGGTTACGGCTTCCGTATTTTGTTCGTGTTGTTATTGCTGGTATGTTTGTTCTTTCTGTAGACTACAAATGCGGTGGGCCTTGACAAGGCACCGCATTAAGCCCCCCGAGCTACTACGGGCACTTCACAGATATCGGCAAGTAATTTCTGCTCAAAGTGCGTTGTGGCTCTCCAGGACGCAGGCACGGGCCTATTACCGGCTGCAGTGCCATGGAGGCATCTCTGTCAAGGCAGATCTTTTTGGCGAGCGCAACATCTTTTACCTTATGGAGTACACTTCGCGTGAACGGAAAACACTTCTCATGATGCAGCCGCTTCCAGTGAAAAATGTGAACAGATGGATGCTGCTGACAACCTCCGCCTCTGGATCCCTGAGCTGGACTGCAGCCACACTGGACCAGTACGCCCACGCCTCTCTTTTTGCTTCTGGAGAAAATATATTTGAGACGGTGTTGCTTGTGGACGCAAAGGTTGCGGTTCCATCCTCACCGTCACAGTCCGCCTTTGTTTTAAACGCCCAGGAGACATCTAATCCCTTTCTTATTGATGACTCACTTCATCACACACATTTTGCGACAGGTGCACCATTTTCCCACGTCGTGGGAAGTTCACTTTCGACGCTTTGGTCACAATTCAGGTACACCTCCTTAAAGTGGCTCCCCGAAAGTGGCATGAACGATATCAAAGGCGGCATTTCCGTCTTATCGGGACAAACACCGCACCGAGTCTTTCATTTTGAGCCTGTGGATTTAGTCCATTTACGCCAAACATCTCATGAGTATCAACAGGCAACTCTGCATTCAACCCCACGTTGGGCACTTTTACGTTCCTTAAAAGAAACACTTATATTCTCTGAAGGACGTTGGCTTACGTGGCGCGAGATGAATTTGGACGAGGATCTAAAAACAAGACGCGACAGAGTAACTACAGACATGTTGAGGGCACCGCATCTACCATTTTCGTTTAACACTCTATCCGCAGGGCTTCCGTACCAGCTTTGGTGTCCTTGTGATCACACTTTTATTTACACGGGCCTTCCAAGACGCCGATATATTGTTTATACAATGTTTTTCTACAACTCTTCACAACTTGGAGCTTAACCCTACTCTACACTTGCGAGCAATTTCTCGTTCGCCTTTGTGAGTCGTTATATAAATGCTTTCAGCTGGGTTTCCAAGCGCCATTTCAGCGTTCTTATTTTGCCCTTTTACGATATACACCTTTCTCTCTCTCTCTCTCTCTCTCTCTCTTTCGTTGCGGCTGCGTGGAGTCGTGTCTCTGCCTGTTTTTTTTTAAATAATTTCATTCTCCCTTTTGACTGCTGGTTGAGTATTGTGCTGCAGCTCAGCTCAAGTTAACCACTATGAAGGAAAACATGTCTGAGAGACGCGAGGGAGAATCTCACGCCACCGAGGAGCCCCCGCGCAGCGCCGAAGGGTGGAAGGAGCACCGTAGCGGCCATGGTGGACGCTTGCAAGCTCTATCGAGGATGCCCGTAATGTGCGGGTTGGCCAAATCAATATAATTTTGCTGAACGACTTCCTTTGGCAGTACGTTGGCCCCAACAGAGCGGTGGGTGAAGACCAAAATGTGGTGATGGAGGTGTTTGTGCGTGGGCCAGACAGGTACGTTACAGAGCAGAGGCGTCGTGAGGGAAAATCCTCGATTCCACCAGGGTATCAGCTTTTGGAAGATGCACGCAAGCTTACGGAGCGCGTGGTGGGCACGCTCCGAGACTGGAAGGAGTTTACAGATAATGAGTATTGTCTCTGCTATTACACGGACAAAACTGAAGGCAGCTCTTCAACTAGCGTAGGAGGAAGGGGCAACACGGGAAACTGAAATACGCCCCAGAGGAC